AGCATGGAGATGTAGAGGCCAGGATTAGAGACCTTCAGTATTCTCCCAGAAGGAGCCCGTGTTTGGGAGAGGCCTAAAGGATAAGATGAAGGTGCCTCCCTGCATGTCACTAGGAAGTAATCACACAAAAACGCAATCTATGGAAAATAAGCTATAATCCTGAGCCGGATCACCTCTGGGTGATCTGATAAAGCCAGGTTCTGGCCCTACAAAGGGGAGAGGCATATGGGAAGTGAACTAATCAACAATCCAGTGCTGTTTCCTGTCTGGACTCCCCATCTTTCAGCAGCCATGAATGAGAGGGAGAGGATGGAAATGCTCACCATTCTGGGTTCAACACCGTGAGAGGGCTTCTTGTCCCACTGCATTTCGGCCTCACCGGAAGAAACTCATGTGGTTTGTTGCGATCCAGTGAAGGCAAAAGACAGTCTGGTTTCTTTCAGCCTTCATGAACCCGGCAAATCAACCTGTCATCTTAACCAGATGCTGTCAAGTGTTTCTCTTCCCTTCTTGTAACAAAACACTTCTCACCCAAGCCCATGGTGAGTTTTCATCTGATGGTTAATGGGAATAAGGATATTGTGCCGCCTTCTCAGGAACTTTACAGAGGGTAGCCACTGCTTCCTGGCCCCTCGCAAGGGCTTTGGGCAAAAATGCTGCCCTTAGACCCAAACAAGAGGAGCTTGTGCCCTGAGTCCTGTGCTACGGACAGTCCTGCCCCGAGGCTTGCTCCAGCCACACTCGCCATGGGAGTGGAGTCAGCAGGGCTAAGCGGACATGCCCACCTAGAGCTATCCCCTGCTCGGGCTGTCCAGGACCCCAGAATGCCCTGCTTCAACTGCCCCTACCCCACTTCTCGTGTCTGCACAGGTTCGCTACAGAGTTCATATCCCCGCAGACACACAGTGTGGCCACAGGCAGCTGTTTGCGTGGGAGTTACGGACAGAGCCTAGACATGAGGTCCAGGTGTCTTCACAAGGCCACTTGCGGCAAAGGACGGGCCCAGCATTTGGAAGAGAGTGATAACAGGCCTCAGGAAAAGTAGCTCTTCCCACACTGCCGTTTTCCTCTGCAGAATTCCAACTGAGAATTCTAAATTTGAACCTGGCCTTTCACCTCATTAGGAACGTATGCTTATAAAGGTAGGAGAATAGACCATATTTAACTTAAAATGTTTAGCTTGATTTAAAACTTTTCGATGTTTAAAAAAAATTTTTAATGTTTATTTGTTTTTGAGAGAGAGAGAGAGTGCAAGCAGGGGAGGAAAAGAGAGGGAGACACAGAATCCGAAGCAGGCTCCAGTCTCTGAGCTGTCAGCCCAGAGCCTGATGCAGGGCTCACACTCATGGACTGTAAGATCACAACCTGAGCTGAAGTCAGATACTTAATTGACTGAGCCACCCAGGCCTAAAACTTTTTGATGTTGAGATATATGGTATGTGACCTTCCAAGTGTATTCTAGGCCTGCGCTCCCAAAGGTTCAGAGTGGTTATGTTGGTCAGGGGTGACCTTTGTTATATGCTGAGACTGTTCGAGGCAAAGATCCACCTCTAGAGAGGAGGGTCTCCTGCTGCTTGCTCTGAAGTCAGGATCTTTTGAGCAGATAAAACAATGGAAGCTGAGATAATCTATTTCCAGTTCATGGAGAATGAGGCCAGGGTGAGTGTAAGAGAGAGAGTGTGGGGGGTGGTAGATGTGTTTGGTTGCGTGTGGGGGTGTGCATGAGTGGGACTATGTGTGTACGGGGGTGTGTGTGGATGTGTCTGTGCATGCATTAGTTTTAAGAATAGTAGAGGCTGACCTTTAGAAGTCTGAAGAGTGAAAATTTTATGGTGTCCTTCACTGTACAATTGAAAAATAATCTTAATCATCAAAATTAGACCCCCAAATTCGGATTTTCCATACTGATTATTTTCTCATTTTGCAGATGAGGGAACTGTAGTTTAGAGATGTTAAATGACTTGTCCAAGGGCACAGGGCCATGATTCAGTCCAAGCAGTGTGGCTCCAGAGCTCTAGAACCCAGTTCACTATCATGCATGGCCTCTTGGCCAGAACAGATCTCAGTGAGCTCAGGCCAGGGGGCCAGCTCCCCAAAAGATGGGGAATGTGGAAACCAGGCAGAGAGTACTGAGTATAAGGTAAGTGTTAAGTGCTGCCCAGAAATCAGGTTGTTAGGTCTTGGGTAAGGAAGCTCACGGCTCACCCTTGATCCCTTTTCTGGTGACAAAAAGAAGTCGAGGTCCATGACAGCACTGCTGGGGTCTACCTGTCAGAAAACAGAAGCGTACTGCTTGGGATTGTTTGTGCAGAGTGGAAGCAGAGAAGAGAAATGTCGCCTCCTGGTGGCCATCTTTAGTAGTGGCAGCAGGAGACAGCAGCCTTAGCTTTGGGGTTGGTTGGTGGTTAAGACAGGGAGACTTTCTTGTGTCCTCCTGGGTGATCATTTTCAAGTGCTGTAAAAATCATTCTTTCATATATTTTACCCATTTGGGGGTTATTCATTTTATCAGGATGGTAAATATGGTCTCTGTTATTCCATCTTAGCTGGAATCCTAGTGATTTCTTTTTTACTGTTATTTTTCTGTTCAGTGATTTGGAAGCTATATTGTCTTTTAATGAAAATCACCTTTACATTTTTATAAATCATCTCTATGTTCACAACTTTATATGTAAGTGAACCATTATTCCTATAGTAACAATTTAAAAGATGAAATGATCTATGATATATTTCTCTCATCAGTAATGATAAGTCTAGCAGAGTCTCCCACTCTGCTGTTCCAGATGTGTCTGTATTCCGATAACTACTTTTTAAACAACTGCTTCAAGTTTGTTAAATTAATAATGCAAAACTCGACTTCGCTATAAATTTATGTGACTTAATTGCTTACTACTTCTTTTTTAATTCAGTATTTTCCCCATTTGTGAATTATTTACTTATATTGATTTCTCAATCAGTAGGATTCATGATTGGTTAATTTTTTTCAAGTGATGGGCTTGGGATCTTTACATGTCTAAACATAGCTTTATGTTCTCCTCATTCATCAACAATATTCAACCTGCTGTTGACTGCCTATGCCTCATTTTAAAATATGCCATTTTTTTTTTTTTTATCACCAGAAGATGTTTTCTTGATTTGAAGTGCTCCCTTTTCATGACTGGCTGGTGCTTTCTGGTAAATGAATATTGACAGAGATATTCTTAGTCTTCCTCCTGCTTCTTGCAGTAACTCTGCTTCACTGAGGAGCATGTCTTCCAATTTGTCAGACCAGCCCTAGGCTTTTGAACCATTAAATCAATAGTTTTAAATCGTTACATTATTTTTCTCTATACCGATTCTTGACAGAATGAGATCTCTATCAGGTTAAGCGTAGTTCCTGTCAGAGATGTGTGGATCTGTGTCCAAAGGCCCAAAGGGAGAAAAAAGGAAAGATTTCTAATTTTCTAATGGTTACATTTTGTCAGATTATAGTTGTGTGGCAGCAGTGGCATCTGCGATAACTTGGCTGGAAGTTTCCTTTTGCATATTTATTAGGGTAGGCATTACCGGGGGTCATGGCCCCCTTCTCTGACACTTTCAGGATCCTGGTGCTGAAGCATCCCCCTCCTCGCCTCCTCACTTAGACCTTGCAAACAGGGTTCCACCGTGTGAACCCTGGCACCCTGCTCACGCTCTTTGAGGTCAGGTCTGGAGCTCACCGCATTTCTCCAGGGTCCCCGGCCTCCACCCATTTCTCCCAGTCAGCTCCCGGTGGACGCTGGTGCCCACTGCCTGGCCTTTCCGCTTCCTGTCCAGGTGGTGCTCCTTCCACACACAGGGAATTGTGGGTCACTGGGCCCTAGGTCTTCTCTCCCCCACTGGGCATACTCTGAAGAAATCCCTCAGCATCTCCGGAAGGTGGGGTTCTGCTCCCATGTTTGTATGCCTCAGGACTGCAGTGGACCCTGAGATGTGAGAAGGAGGGGCTCCCCTTGAGGGTTTGCACCACCACCATCAGCTGTAGAAAGCTCTATAAAATGGTGTCGGCACACCGGCTGTGCTTCTTGGCCTGAGTGGTGCACACAGCTGTGCATCACATGGCATGCAGGTGGTTTCTTTGGTGACTTCAGAAGACACTGACGGCCTTGGGCCAGGGCTGAGCTAGGTTGACAGGAGCCCATGGGAGCTTTGGGGTACCTGGGTATGGGAGGTGGCATTGGGGACCCAGGCCCACCAAGAAGTAGTGGGCCTGGAAGTAACGATGGGGATGGGGAGATTCGCTCAGGACACTTGGTTCGTAGGAAGTCGTGGAAAGAGCAAGGTCTTGCTTCCTAGAAGACCTCGGTCTGAATTTGGGCTTTACCACATACTAACCTGTGGCTCACGAGAAGCTCATTTCAGAGCCAGTTTCCTCATCTGTAAAGTGGGTAATAACAGAACCACCCTTTGGGTTTTGTGGGGTTTAAATGAGGTGCTATGTGTGAGACACAACGCCTGACCTATATGTGTGTGAACCTTCAACAAATCCTGGGCTCCTCATGTGAGTAAAAAGGAGCAGGGATGGTGTGAGATGGACTCTTTCATCTTCTTTCTCTTCTCTAGTATCTCTATTCCCCTTTCACCCTCTGGGTGACCTCTTAGCTCTCCCCAGCCTGCTGATTTTGGCCTGACACTTCTTCCATTCCAGTCTGTGAATCTGCATCCCCCATGAGGACCATCCACATTTGTTTTTGCGTCTCTCTCCCTTACCCCAAGCCACCTAAATGTATCTTCCTCCACAAGCTATTTGCAAATCCACATGGCCTTTCTCTTCTTAGAAGCCTACAGCATTTTACTGTATTACCTCCCTCACCATCCAGAACTCAATTATTCACATGTTCAGCCTTCCATGTGTGAGGAATGGTTTCAAAAATGGGAGTTTCCTGTGTGGCTAGATGTTTCTATACGTGGACCCCCTGACTTCTGCTCCCCTGGGAGAGGGGCTAGCTGGGTGGCCGACAGAGATGGGTCACACACTGGGAAGCCAAGCACGGTAGATTTACTAGGGTAATATCTGCAGGTGAGATAACAGCACATACATACAGAAATTCATGGGCAGAGATGCCACCCAGCACCACAAACACCAAAGCAGCGGGGGAGTGGGAGGCCTCAGGAAGTGGCTTTGGAAAGTTCTCTTGAAAATCCAAGGGCAGCTTTGGTGCTCAGAGATTCAAACAGAAAACTATACAAAACCAACCCATAAATATATATATATTATATATGTGTGTATTATATATATATATAAAATTGCAAAATAAAAGCCCAAGAAACTAATCATCAATCTGCACATCAGTGGCTCAAGAAGTGTTAGCGTAGAGAAAGGCAAAACCATTTGTGGGGATGATGCATGATCCAGGGGGCTGGCATTTTCAGTAGCAGAAAGAATATTTACATGGAACCCCTCTTTGAGACATCACAATACTAGGAAAAGCTAAACACAGACAATGCATGTACAAGGGAAGACGATTGTCAGACACAGACATTTCACTGAAACCATCCACGGCTTTAGAGAACATGGCACTCTCTACCTAGACCCCCGCATGCCCAGCCAGGTGAACCCAGGCCCTGGACCCTCTCCCAATTTGAGTCTTCCTGGAAGAGGGATGAACACAGCACTGGACTCGGCTGTAGCATAGATGGCAGGAATTTAAAGGTGGACTAGACCACGGAGATCAAAGCAGGCCCACTAGGCATGAGGTGGGGTTGAAATGTGGGGGCAGAGGTCCCCAAAATACAGTCCTGTTTTATAAGAGCTTTGATGTATGTAAATGTGACCCCTCCATCCTTGGTCCACTTAAAAGGAGATGATGTAAAGTTATATGAGATGACCTGGTGGAAGAGAGAAGAGTTTGGGGGTTTTTCTACAGTTCTCCTCCCACCACCCCAAGCCCTCACAATGTTTTCTTTAAGCTACTTAGAGGTAGGGACTTGCCTTCTGCTCCTTGGGAACCAGTGGGTGAGAAGAGGAGCTGTCACATGGGGAAAGCTACTGAGGCTCGGCCTCCAGCCACACCTGTGTCCCCTGTGTCAGTGACTGTGACCATTTCTCCATCTTCAGGCTCAATTTCTCATAGCAATGACCCAACTTTTGGGGACATCTTGAAGGCAAATGGCACCAAACATCAATTTGGCAAAACCCAAGTGAACCAATGGGAACCATCACTTCTGTATTTTTAAGAAAACCCTCAACTGGAGATTCTAATTGTTCCTAAAGAGACAAGCCTATCTACATAAAATGATGGAGATTTCTCCACTAAAGGAGGACACCCCACCTGAAATGCCTACGTTGATTCCTGGGTGAGGGTGGCTTCTCACCGAGAGGCTCAAGAGGGTTGGATGTGCCCTGGTGACATGCTCTTTTATTTCTGGCCCAAAGTATGCGACATCCAAGTGGATAGGTGGGCTAGGCAGGGGATTTGGAAATGATCACTCTCCTGTATCTGCTCTTTCATATTGTGGCACAAGGGCAATTGTAAGAGAGAAATAACCAATGCACATATTTCATCAGTCAGTTCAAGCCTCTGACTTTTCACATTAAATTGTCCTTTTTGGATCAGATGGGGAACAATTGTGGGAATGGAGAGCATAGATTTACCTCATCCCTAATTTCTTCTGAGACTCTTTGAATGTTATCATCTTTGAGAGATTGCTTAGGCTCAAGTGGTAAGAGAAAATACAAAACCTGTTTCCTCTACAGAGAGTCAACAGCAACTGTACCAACCAGTTTAAGGGCTTCTGCTGACCTGTATAAGGAAAACAAGTAAGGACTGTATGTTTTCTCATTTGTTCAGCAAAAATGGAAATACTCTTGGCCTGGAACTAGAACATATAAAATACACTTGTGCAATGATGCGCTACAGGCCAACGGGAGGCCATGTGTATACCCACTCCCATGGATACCTCCATGGAAAATTCCATTTTTTTCTTCAACTTTCCAGCTTTCAGAAGTAAATCATGTTGTTGGGTGAATGGTTCTTTCAAATCCATGGTAACCAGAGAATGGCCTTATAGCACTTCTCCTCATGTTGACAAGAATGATAGCCCTGTTATGATGGTGCTGAATGACATCTGAATGACTGCCTTGCCTCATTCAGGAGTGATAGTGCATTTGACACCAGGAGCAGGATTCAAGGCTCAGTATGAATAAACTCAAAGTATGAGAGCAGTGCTTTTAGTTGGGTTCTTACTAGACCAGGGTCCTCATTCAAATCCCCAAAAGTCCCTTAAAAAGAACTTCCCTGTCTGCAGAGGAAGAACCCCATTTTTCTTTACAGCACTGTTGAGGAAGGCTGTTTTTATCTGTGTGTAGCCTGGACAAAGTCGGACAGCTGGGTCACTACAGGCCACAAGGCTCTTATGGAGCACAAATTTGGGCTAGAGGCTTGCCTCTTAGCAGAGCTTTTTGCAAAGTTTGAGAAAGGTCACATGGTGTGGACAGTTCTCCCACATCACTGCTGGGTGCCAGCCACCAACACAGAGAGTCATTGCCAACTTGTCTCTCTGTAGCCATCTCCTGCCTCCTGCCCCAGCCCCAGTCTGTCTTCCCATGGAAACGGCCTCAAAACCTCCCCCCTGCCCAGCTCAGCCATCCGGAACACTGCAGACTGACTCACGTGTTCTCATCCTTTTCTGTGGCAGATCCTGGCCCAGTGGCTTTACTAGAAACGAATCTACTGCCCACCCATTCTGAGTTCTCCATAGATGCGTTTTCTCCAGAAGAGACACTGGTCAAAGTTTTCATCCAGCTTTTATCCAAATCCAAAGGAAATGGCCCAACATCTAAAACCTCTGGTTTTGCTTGGACCGCACGTCCTCTGCAACAGCCACCAGTGCAGCACCTTAAGCCTGGAGCTAAGGGTGCCACCTCCTGGGTGTGTGAGGGTGGAAGAAATCGGCAGAATGACTCAAAAGCTCTTGCGGGCGACTCTGCAGCAAGGCAAAAACAGACCTGCCAACTGCACCAAGCATTAGCTCTTTGAATGTTTCCCTCTCCTTGTTGAAAATCTCTAAGATGCTTTATCCAAAGAATTTTAGGGAAGTAAAATTCTGTGCCAGAAGCACGCTATTTCCTATAAAGGAAAATGTAGTGTGAGGCAGGCCACCAAGCATGTTTCAGTGCTGACGTTTCAGAAAGGCCCCATTATGAGATCTCCTGTGCCTTCCCTGCTCTCCTCCTCTCCAGGCCATTCTCCACCCAGCCGCCAAAGAGATTTTTGTAAAATTCAAGCTTGATTGTGATACCCTGACTGTAAGTCGTCAGCATCTCCAAACCCCCTATATGATAAAAATCTAGTTGCACATTTTCTACAGGTTTCTCTCTGATGCAGCCATGCCCACCTATGAAACAAAGCCCCCTATCCCCTCACACTTTATGCTCTGCCATTACTACATCACTCAGTGGACCTGTCACGGAGTCTCATGCTTCCATGCCTTTGCACATTCTCTTCCCTCATCAGGAATACCCCGCCAACTCTTTTGTCTTCCTGAAGAATTCCTCTTTGTCTGAAAACCTAACTCAATCATCGTATCTTTCAGGAAAAGTTTCTCTGGTCCAGAAGACAGTAAACCATTACTTCCTTCTGCCATCGCGGCCCTCTTGCCCTTTCGGTAACTTGTCTCCACGCCTCCTGTACTTAACTTCCGGTGGGCAGAGACTATGTTCTGCTTTCAGGTCGGACCCATGACCCAAGCTCATGGAGCTTTTTGTTGTTGTTTGATTGTATGAGGAATGAGCAAATGGACCATGGCATAAATTCCAAGGATGATGTTCCAGCAAGGCTCTGGCATTTTCTCCTATGAGGCCTCATTATTATAAAGAGAATTTGTTGAATGCAGAGTCAAGTCAACATCATCTCTGAGCTACAACCACTCAAACACAAAAAGCTGTGTCAATGGTTATGTCCTCTGCACTCTTAACATTGTTTCCTGCTGATTATTCTAGCTACAATGATTGTTTTCTTTTAATGATAGCATAATGCCTGATGCTTAGTGGGTGCTTAACAAATATTGTGAGGGATGAATGAATGAATGAATGTGAAATCTATTTTTTTAAAGAAGGCATCAGAGGATTGGCTTTTAAAGGCATTTCCCACATCACAGACTTTTTCTGAGGCATAGATGCCCCTGACCATAGAGTTGCCCATCACAAGACCCAGTCAGAAAGTAGAATAGAGTACGGGCTGGGGGAGCAGTTAAGACTCAAATTAGAGAGATGCAGCACTGGGCTCTTCTTAGTCAGGTGTCAGTTTCCTTCCTTCTCAAGAAATAGCCCAACTGTACTCCGGCCCAACCAGAAGGCTCCTGCCTCTCTTTTGCTGGAGGTCCACGTTGGCCTCGCCACAATCCACGTTTATTGGGAACTTAACGTGACTGATGAGGGAGAACACAGGCAGTTTCCTGCTTTCATTCCAGGTGCTGACATTACAGGGCAGAGTCCCATCACAGAATAGGGTCCTGGACTAAAACAACCATCCTTAGGGATCCAAGTTTTCTAATCATCATCAACTGTTAAGTACAAAGGCTCTGGACTCAAACTGACCTGGGGTCAAATCCAGGCCCTGATCTTTCTAGCCACATCACCTGGAGCAAGTCAATTGTCCTTTTGGGGCTCAGTTTCCTTACTCATAAAGTGGGAATACCTTACCCACATCACAGGTTATCGTGACGGTCAAAGGGTGCAACGAATGTAAAGCTCCACAGTGTCTATACATAGAAAGTAAGTGCTCAAAAGTGGAAAACTATGATTAAGAACTTTCAAAAGTACTTTCACAATCATCAGGACAAAAAGGAAAAATACTCTTTGAAGACACTGTGCTATAAAGAGAATGGATTGTCTATTTTTTAGGAGCCAACAATGCTCATTAATCGATGTCCCATGGAAGGATATGAAAAGATAGTGCTGGCATTTACAACGATCGCCATAGCTCTTACTAGGCCCCAGGATGGACAGATCATGACAGGGCGAGGACACTCAAGCTGCTTTCTCTCCTAGATGATCCAAGAGACTGAATCTTGAAGGGCTCATCTCATTCTCCTCTGCTGGACCCAGAGCACCTGAGTCGGAACCCAAAGGAGCCAAGGGTAAGATGCCAGTTCCAGTATGTGAGCCAGGTTCCAGGTTTGCGGGGAAGTCAGGAGACACCTGACTGCCAGGTAGGAGTGAAACAGGTAGAGCCACATTGCTCCATGTGTCATGCAAAGCTAGAAAGGCATAGCATTTCCTGTGTTGTTTTGATCCTCCTGGTATAACCCAAAGCCAAAAGAGGATCTAAATTTCCCCAAATTTCTGCCCTGAGCGTGAGACTTTTCTCTAAGCTAAATTTGGTTTTAAGTTTGAAGCGCCTGAGATGCACGATTCAAATGGGCCGAGTTCCTGGCTTCTTATATTGACTAAACTACTTGAATCCTGCGGCTGACTTGGCTTGCCCTCCCGTCTGCCCACTCTTACAATTCTTCGTCCACCAGTCACTCAGGAGGTTCCGTGAAGAAAGCTCAGGGTTAGTGGTTGGGGAAGCACGAGCTAAGCCATCAGCCCTTGGGAACAAAGATTAACTTCTTTTGGAGGGGAACGGGTCAATTTGTCTGGTGACTGTAAGCAGCAGGGCAGGGACCCTGTGGGAAAGAGAGTTTTAAACTGTGACAGCTCCATCAGCAGGAGATTGGATTCCTGCAAGGAAAAGGACCTTTCCCAGGAGAAGGTCCTCCACCTGTCTGATTTGGTCTGAGGCTGTGCGAGCTTGCAGCCCACTCTGGCCTTCTGCCCTGGGCTCAGATTGGTGGGCAGCAACCTCACAAAGGTGGCCCACAACTAGGCAGTGTTGTGTAGTGGAAAAGCACTGGACTAGGGGCCAGGAGACCCGAAGTCTAGTGCTGGCTCTGCCACTAACTAGCTGTGTGACCTTGGGAAAGTCACCTGACTTCTCTGGGGCAACTGTAAAATGAGGGGTTGGGTGGGTGATCTCTTAGTTCTCCCTCAGAGTGTGATCCAGGGTCCTATGCTATCCTTCCTTGGCCCTGTGCTTCCAGGGACAGAGATGGGAGAAGGGAAGGGGTGGAGGGAGAGGGTACCGATGAGAATACCACCAATCAGGACTCCACTTTCTCCTTCTTTTTGCTCTTTTTCAGGAAGGATGGGGTTCGGAATTTCTTCTTCTTTTTGGAGGGAGACTTGGAAGGTGAGCCCTCTGGGGACATGGGGCCACTGGTGACCGACTCGGTTTTGTCCTTAGAGGTATCAACATCCGTGTCGGCGGCATTGGTGGTCATCTGGCTCAAGCCCTTGCTGAGAACTTCCTCTGCGGTCTGTTCTTCCTCCCTCCCATTGACCACCACTCCTTCTGGCTGTGTTGTTTCAGGCTCCGTGGTGGCTTTGCTTGTTTCTGTCTTCTTAGCACCTTCTAGAAAGAAGATCAAGAGACATGACCTGTAAGATTTCAATCCGGTTGACAGTTTCTATGTGGGGTTAACAGAACCATTCCTAGGCAATTCTATAAAATAAGTCTAGAGCAATGGGAGGGACAGGCTGACATCATAGGGGAAGGGGCTAGGCAGGGTTCTCATTCAAACCCTGAATCCCTTTCCATGCAGCCTGCCTTGGGAGCAGGTTCTTGGCAGGTCTGTTACTCTGGGCTCTTGTCTACAAACGTAAACAAGGTAATGATGTCCGAATGTGGCAGGGGGCCCAGCTAGGACCAGTTGCAAACTTTTCTAGGCACAAAATGAAGAGACAGACCCAGGCTATAGGAAGAGGGAGAGCAGCCACACACACAAGGGGAAGAGGAAGCTAAGAATCATAACTGAAATAGTTTCACCAGTGAAAATACAGATTTTACATTTTTAAGCTTTTATTTAGATTCCAATTAGTTAACATGGAAATTACATGTTTTTATAGCCATTTCATTTCTTATACCCAACAGGAACTTTTGGAAAAATGGAGTATATCTTCCCAGGAGGCATAAAGGGGAAGGCAGAGGGAGAATGGAATCCCTGAGGGTCATGGACCCTGTGTTTCCAAGATAAAAGGATTAACTGAAAGGGAAGATGCACGGTTGGCTCATTCTAGCTGCCACTTGGAGGGAATGCGTTTAAATTACCATCATGTTTAAGGCCAGAGCTGCTCAGATCCTAGCAACTAAGGCCCCCTGCCTGGCCCCTGCCTCCCTTTTCCCCCCTTTCTCACTTCCCCCTCCCCCCATCCTGCTTCCACTCAAGTTTTGAAATGCCTGGATGGGGAGGGAGGAGGGGAAGTTATAAAACCACAGCCTTTGAAAAGTAGAAAAGAATTTAAAGATCATCTAGCTCAGCTCCTCCCCATTTTACAGAAATAAAAACTGAATAAAGTAGTAAAAGTGGTGGACCTCAGTCTCCTGACATCCAGTTTTGTGTTTTTTTACTATGTGAAACTAAGAGAAGTATGTGAGTGTCTGAGCATGTGTGCATGTGTTTGTAAGTGTGTGAATGTTGGGTGAGCTGTATGTATGTGAGTTGAGTTTGTGAGTACATGTGTGTGTGTGTTTGTGAATGAGTGTGTGGGTGTGGTGTGTGAGTGTTGGGGTGGATGAGTGAACTGTGCATGCAAGTGCGTTATGTGAATGTGGGCGTGTGAGATCTCATACCACAAGAAGCACTGGACATGCTCAACTCTATGGGAATCTGAGTAATGGGTGAGGTATAACCGATATGACTTACAGGAGGAATAGGTGAAGACAGAAGTTTCAAGAAAAGACAAGGGCTTTTGACAGGGGTAAAGACTGGAGAAATGTATGGTTATATGGAAGATGGGACAGATGGGTGTAAATCTGGGGACAGTCATAATGAGCTAGTTTGACTATGGGAAAACTCTTATAATGAGATCTTTTATGACTTCTGAAATTCTTTGGGCAAGTCAACATCCTCTTCCAGATGACTTCTAAGGACTATCTCTCTCTTAGTACCCAACACTTTGGCCCCTGGCTCCTATCCTCCTACTGCTGTCTGTGGTCCATGTCATCATCCAGCTACTAAGTCCTCTAACGCCCTTTATTCTGATGGCCCTTGCTCCCCTCCCCTCGCACCATGTGTTCCCATAGTCATCGCCTGGCAATAGCCTTGAAAGCAATAATCTTGTCTAGACACAACCTTTTTTCTGTCCACTCTCCTCTCCTCATTTCACCTGATAGTTGGCCTCACCAACTCTGTGGTCTGGCTCAAGCCTGCCTTGACATTTGGCAATGATCTTGTCCTTATCTAAACCTACTGCCAATATATCTATTTTACACTTATGTGTGTCATTTACCCTTTTTTAAGAGGACACAGTTGGGCATGGTCCCCTCCCAAAATGAATCTGGCTGGCTCTGTGGCTCACAGTAACCAACAGAATGATAAGGAAGTGCCACTGAGCCAGCCACAGACTGAAGACTTAAGAAGGCTTAGATGTTCTTGCTTTTAGAGTTTTGGGAGCCCCAAGCCATTCTATAATAAAGTCTGACTACTTTGATGGAAACACACATGGAGAGGCCACCTGGAAAGGCCCTACAACCACATGGAGACAGAGAGAGTGAGACAGACAGACAGAGAGAAAGAGAGACAGAGACAGAGAGAGATAGAAGACCAGCCATCCTAGTGTCCCCAGCTGAGCGCAGACTTCCAGCTATCAACCAAGAGTACGCCATCTTGGAAATTCCAGTTTAGTCAAGCTCCCAGATGCCTGCAGCCCCAGCAAACACGAATGGAGCAGAACCATCCAGCTGAGTCTAGTCAACCCACAGAACAACTAATTTCAATAAAACCAGCTCTTATTATGCATTATGATTTAATAATTATCTATTGCTGCATAACAATCCCCAACCCCCTCCCCCCAACTTAGTGGCTTAAAACAGCAAGCCTGTATTCTCTCTCACAATCCTGGAAACAGTACATAATGAGAACTAATTCATGTAAGCACATTATAAGGCCCTTTTGTATGCATTTGCTAATTTATCCCAATAACAACACTATGAGCTAGGAAGGGCAAGATTCGTGTTAGCCAACCCCCTACACCCCACAATTCTGCAGGGTTTTTAAGTGACTTATTTAGATGGCAAAATCAGTAAGTCACAAAGCTGATCTCCTGATGCTGAATACAGGGCTGTTTCTTGTCAGGCACAGCCAGTGCTTCCAGAGAGTTTACTGGAGGATGGAGTCAGCAGGGACAGGGACAGCAAGAACCCAGTCAAAGAGAAGGCGATGAGAGAGATGACCAGATGTGGAGGAAGAGCGTTGGAAAGAGTCTCCTTTGGGGAAGCCAATGGGATAGGAGACAGATGAGGAAGGACATCGAGGTGACTCAGCACGAGAACATTTGAGAGCATGGTGATGCATGGTGACAAATGGAGAAAAACCATCCCTGATCCAATGGGTGAGCTAAATGTGAAGGTGCACATGTAGAGGGAAGGGGCATCCCTGTCTGCCCTGGGGGGCCAGGCAAGCTATTGGACCACCTGGCCATGGCCACCCAGCCCCACTTCACACCGGTCACCTGAGGCAGCTACCAATCCAGCCTCGTCATGCAGGGTGGGCTCTGACAGTGCTACAGGAAGAGTCTTCAGGGAAGACCTTGACTTTTCTAACAATTCAACCAGGGTATGCCTTTTGTGAGGGCCCAGAATTTGACCAGAGAGGGCAGAAACCGTGCTACCAGTGGGAATGACATCAGGGGTGGGTAAGCAGTTGTCCCACCTGTCATACACCTCTCCGCTCCCCACTCTGTCCCCCTGAACAGCAGAGGTTGCTCCAAAGGGCTCCCAGGAGCTGAAATAGAATTACTACCCCTTGTCCCACTGCTGCCATAAGCCTCCTCTCCAGCTTGGCTTTCCCTCCTGCAGCTGGTGCATAGGTCCCAAGGGATGCTGAAGACACGGTCATTCAGGCCAGGTGCTCAAAGCATCTCCATAAGGCAGTTGGTCCCAAGGCCATTCAGGCTCTGGGCCACAACCCTAGAAGAGGTCATGAGCTCCTTGGAGGGGACATGCATTAGGGACAGGGGTGCAGATGTGCTCCTGAGGGTATAAGTATTCCCCCAAAGGGAGGGCCCAGGGGCTGGCCCCACTGCCCTTTCACTGTGAAGGCTTGTTGCTTCTGGGTGGGATGCCTTGTGTGAGTATGTATGTGTGTTTGTGTATGAGTACATCCTGTGTGTGTCTATCCTAGAGGGAAGCCCAGCCCATGCATAGCACGTGTGGAGTTTGTCTTGACCTTTATAGCCAGGAATCTCTCGAAGGCAGGGTTGCTATAGAAAAAGCTGGGGAGAAACACATTTCTTTTGAAAAAGTCCTCCCTCCCCCATTGCAAGTGTTGGAGTGAGTTAGTAAACAGCCTCTCTATACTTACTACAGAGACAAGTATTCAGAATCGGAGGAAACTCCTTTGATGAAGGCACAAATGGGAAGAGAAAGGAAGACATTGTGGAGACAGGTTGACAACACTGTGATGAGACACAATGAACACAAACAGGCAGGGGACATCCACTTGCAGCTCTGGCCACAAGCAGATGGGTTTCCTCTGGCAACGCTGGGACTGCACACAAGGCAGCAATTCACCTCTGAAGGGAGCTCAGGGCTTGGGGGATTCTAGCAGCATCTACACGTGTGTTCATCCTACCCAGGAAGGAGAAGATCTCATCAGGCCACCAAGCTGCTGCTTGGTGGTACAGCCTTCCCTGGCGAGGGCTCAAGGGACCCAGGGGAGGAGTGTTCATGCCCCAGAGTGATTCCAGAAGCTCATTAAGGAGACCTTTCTGATCTAGGTGGTACAGACTATAATAGTATCATTATCCACCATATGTATATTATTAATCATATCACAATTAGACCTTACATTTAAATGTTTTTATTCTTTCAAAGTATACTCTCTTCCATCAACAGCTTCCCTTACATGTATAAGAACCTTTAAAAGGGAAATATTAGTAATCCCATTTGACAGATAAGGAAACTGAGGCACAGAGATTATCTGATTTTCTAAAATTAGCAGTTATTATTAGTTAGTGGTTGAGTTGGGCCTAGACCTTAATTCTCTAAACTAGTATCTAATGAAGTCGTTCTCAGCCTAGGCTACACATTAGGCTTATCTGGAGAGGTCTTAAAACTCCAGCACACTCTGCTTTAACCTACCCCCAGACCATTTAGCTGAGAACTACTGGGGGTGCTGTGGTGGGCCAGCATCAGGATTTTCAAAGCTCCCCAGGTAATTCCAGAGTGTTGATATTCCAAAGGTTGAGAATGGCATCATCAGCCTTACCTGGGAGCTTGTTGGAAATATACAGTCTCAGGTCCCACCCTAGATTTACTCCATCAGAGTCTTCATTTTAACAAGATCCTGGTGATCCCTACACACATTAAAGTCTGAGCACTGGGCTGGTGCATCTAGAAAGACCCATCAGCCAACCTAGTCTGAGTGAGTGGTGAGAAGGCTGTGGGTCAATCATCAACTCACTCATCACTGCTTAGACAGGGACTTAAATTGTAAGGTACATTATCACAGGTTGTGAATGAAACAAGCTTAAGTTTGGTAACCTCTATTTCAGATTCCCTAGAAATGGCAGAACAGAAAGCTTTTTGGGTAGCTTTTCAACACCTGTTGAAAGGCAGGGTCCCTGGAGTGTGCACCCCTGCCCTGCCTTCCACGCAGACCCCTTTCCGGACTGTGGACGTGCCTCCTCCCTCCCTACTGCGCACTGCACTCACCGTCTAAAGACTTGGAGGGAGAGAGCGGGGGGCTCTTCGTCTCTGACTTCACTGGACTCTGTGCTGGAGAAGCAGGTGCAGACCTTACAGGGGAGCCGGGCTCCTCTGCAGTGGTTTCTTTCTCTCCTGAAAATACAGGAAACCACCTCGGGTTAGGGGTCAAACAGAGGGGAGGTGGGGAGAGAGAGAACATTTACAAAAATGCTTTCTTCTGGCAGGTCCTCATTTCTCCAGGCTGAAGTTAGCTCCTTCCCCCCAACCTTTTTAAAATTTCTGCTACAACCTGGGGAAGGCAAATGGGTTGAGTCAGAGTCCTGTCTTGTTTCTTCCACCCAAGCGCATCTGCCAGTGGAACGCTAGCCCTGATGTGGACCTCAAGGCTGCAGGCTTCCCGCCCGTGATTTGTTTGCATGTAGCTTATTTATTATTTATCTAATTTTCATGTTCAGCCCAAATAATCCCTGGGGATATAAAGCACCAAGTTTTCTATCTACCTTTTCCATTGTCATGTTAGAACTCTAAGCAAGCGAGCAAGCATTTTTCTAGTGACTGCTCTGTGCCCAGGAAGATGACTGACCCTGGGTGGGAGGGGGGCTGTAGAAGACGACTCTGCCCTGAGGGAATAAAAACCTAGCTTGGTGGACTAAACCAAGAGCTGAATTCTTCTGTGTCTCGGACCCCGAGTGCTCTTGAAACAAAGAGAAGGAACGGCTCAAGTGGAGGGTGGAGAGGGACAGAGAGGGCTCGTTAGCTGGAGAGGGGCTGGAGATGGAAGCCCGGATCAGGCTAGCTGAGAGGGGACACTGCCAGGAAGAGATGACGGCGTGAATGCGAGCACACAAGCTATCATGAATGTGGATATTTGGGAGTCAACATGGAGAGATGGGCTTGACAGGAGGTTCTGAAGTAAAGAAGGAATAATAATCTGATAGATTAATAAATATCACTATTATAATTATCTTATTATACCTAATGTTTATCTAACCTAAGCCATACTTCTAGGCACTGTTCTGTTTTTTTTTTTTTAAACGAAATTTGTAATGTTTTCTTTCTTTTCTTTTTTAAATATTTATTAATTTTTGAGAGAGAGAGAGAGAGAGAGGGTGCATGTTCACAAGCAGGGGAGGGGCAGGGAGAGAGAGAGAAGGAGAGAGGGTGGGAGAGACACAGAATCTGAAGCAGGCTTCAGGCTCTGAGCTGTCAGCACTGAGTCTGACACAGGGCTTTATGCGAGAGGGAAACAGAATCTGAAGTTGTCCATGTAGGGCTGGATGTGGGGCTGGATGAGGGGCTCGATGCGGGGGGGGGGGTGTTCAATGGGGACTTGGGGGGGGGCGGGGGCTTGAACCCATGACCCGTGAGATTATGACCTGAGCTGAAGTCTGGCACTTAACCAACTGAGCCATCCAGGCGCCCCTTAAAGGCACTGTTCTAAGCACTGTACAAGGATTAACTCCTTTATACCCAGGTAGAGCTTAGACAAGGTCGTGGCAGCACTGTGTCGCTGTCACCATTAGGCACTGAGCAATGAGGGCCATTATGTAATTAACAGCATTATGCTGGTTCATGGGGTAGGAGGGGCAAACTAAGGATATGAGAGAGAGGAGAGAGAGAAGCAAGTGAAGACTGAAAGTGAGAGCAAAGGAAGGCTAGCTGGATCCCCACGGGCCCTGCCAGGTGGGAGGCATGGGTCCCAGTGGCCCTGGCGGGAGTGAGTGGCTGGTGGCTCTGCTGCCTCTCTGGGTGCCCCCAGCCCTCCTTGCACCCTGGGAGATCTTGAAGCACCAGTGAGCCGGGGTTATTTACCGTCAAGTTCTAGTTTCTTCCTCTCCACCTCCTTCTTGTACTCCTCCAGCTCCTGGTCAGTGAGTTGGCTGAAGGGGTTGGGCATGGTCTCCTCTGAGTCGTCTTTGGTATCCGCATCGCCCTTGGACATCAGCTGGCTCTCTGTAGACTGAAAGTTAACCACAGAGTGTGTGTTGCTCTCTGAATGCCGTGGTTGGGGCCCAGGCTCGAGCTTCCTTTCAGACTCATGTGGCTGCCAGCAGTCTTGCTAGGGGCAGCATGGCATGCAGCTCCATGGAAACAGCTCGGGGCCTCGGGGTAGGGGGTGTTCATTCCTCCCCACGGATACCTCACCCCCAAACCTGGGTTCTTTGCAACTGCCTGGGTAAATGCAGGGAGTCCACCCTTTGCCCTGGAAATAAAATCAAAGGATGCTCCCAAGCAGAAGGAAGACACACGTTTATTGCAATCCCTCCTGTGGATGCTTGCAAGCCATCACTATGCAAATACAGTCCACAGCCCAAAGTCAGTTAGCCAAAAGCCAGCAAGCAAAGCGTTGGCTCAAGCCAGCTTCATGCCAGCCATTCCCCACTATACCCTCCCCCCACCCCCCCAACAGCAGCACGAGCCACAGCACACAGCAGTAAGTCAAATGCAAAACACACAATGGCTTCAGCGTTCTCAGTCCAAACGGTTAGTCCTGTTTCGCACACAGTCATAAATTACAAGGAGGCCAAGGTCCTGAATCTCGGATCTTCAACCTGCCTGTACTGCAGGTCCCTGGGGGACAGTGGCAACAATCCCTGGGGAGCTCACCGGCTGGACCTCGTGTGAACTTCAGGAATCCTTTGACCCTTCTAGCCCATGACAAGGTCTAAAATTCAGACCCCACAGCCCTTTCTCCTAATTTGGCATCCTCATCGTGGCCTTTCAGAATGCAGTGCTGGGAAGCTGAGGCACAGCCAAAGAATGTGGAACTTGGGAGGGGAACCCAGAGCATCCGGGCCACACCACGCACTCCAGGCCACCTTCCCTGGCCTACCAGGTCCTCGGACAATGGGCCATGGGCACCCTCCCAAAGAGAAGCAGCATTGGCCTATCTTAAGGAATCACAGAGTTCAAAAGAGAATCCAAGACCAGGATCCCAAAAAGAGGGATTCCAAGAACACTTGGTGTAAATGGCAGAGTTTTCAACAGTTTTGCTCACTGTACTGAACTCTCACCACCTCCACGCCAGTATCATGGGGTGTTTCTATCCTTGACCCTGTGGCACATTGGGTGTTCCTCATCCTGGCTAGTGGAGGTGGGTGACCATGCTGGTGCAATGACATAACCTTTATGCTTCCTGCCATGGGCACCCGCCTTGTGGGCTGCAGCCTGATTAAATGATCTCAGTTTACTCTGCAGAGGGGCACAGTTCCTGTATTCCCCCCCTTCTTACCACTAAGGAATATGCCATGCCCACTGCTATCTCGCAATGAGTAACAATGATTTTTAACACAAGCCAGAATTATGATCTTCACTCCTTTTGCTATGCACTAGAAAAACACTGTCCTATCTCAGGCATGGAAATGACTTTATATTTTCTAACTCTACATGGGTTTGTGTGGGCAACTAACTGCCCCTAACAGAGCACCAGTCCTTATATACATGCCTTCCCTCTACGAGCACGTGAGCATCTTCCCAGAGCTACGGCCTGATGATGCCATATCCACGCACAGAGGCCAGAAACCCTTAGGGCAGGAGGGCCTGGAGCAGCTAGGAGCCGCCAGCCACACTCCTGCGATGCCCACTTTGCAGGATACCAATAGAGGGCGGAGTGGAGTTCCATGGGTAAAGCATGGAAGTCAGCATCCCTCCTGGGGCAGGCCAGGCTGCTGCTCCCCTGCCCGGTACCCTTAGAGGGGCAGTTAGACACTGTCCCTGGTCCTCACAGCATCCGTCCTGCAGCAAGAGCACCAGCGCCCCAAATCACAGGGGAAGGTGGGCACGAGGACTCAGGGGTCCTGCTGCCCAGCCCCAGGCACTGAAGACCCAGAAGGCAAACACGTTTCCCCTCCAGACAGGGGCAGCCTCTGCTGTACCGGGCTTCGACTCTTCTCAGCGATGACGCTCGCCAGGAGCTGGGACTGAGGCCCGGCCGACTTCACATCTTGTCGGTTTTGTTCTCGAATCTGTGTGGCAAGGGAAGGGGAGAGTGAGCTTGCTGTTCAGTGTCATAATGTGGACTTTGGGAGGGGCATTCAGAAGGCATACTGGTGTCCAGCATGCTCTGTGACTAGGGTCTACAAAGGTCCTCCAGTGGGGAGGGGACCTGTTTCCTCTACTTCTAACATAGTGCGCCTCGAAGAGACCGTCTGTCTGCTTCAGAGTGAATGAGTAGTTTATGGAAAACACCAGATTCTCATGAACTCTGAGGAGGTCATTGTAAGAGGTGAACAAGGCACAGTAGCTCCTTGAAGGAGGTTCTTGGGTTTTATTGAAGCCCCTGAGGAGTTTCTTTAATGTATCAGATTCCTGGGGCCACCCCACAACCATTGAGTCTGAATCTGTCTGTGGGGAGGAACAGGGGATTGGCCTGGGAATATGCATGTCAAAGAAGCACTTCAGAGGGTCCTTGAACCACACATTAAGTCACGTTCTGTGAGTATGCCTTTTGGTGGTGGTCTACTGCAATGTAAGCTCTTAAGGTAACATGAGAAATATGAGTGAGTGAACTGTAAAGCAAAGCTCAACAAAAGATTTTGACATTTTAAAAATGAGCCACAAGAAAAGTCATATAGAATTCCTAAAAATTTGATTTCTGGGCAGGTCTCTTACTTAGACCTATCTCATGTCTCAAGCAAGTATCTCTCTGTGTCTAAGGGTTATTTAGGACCACATAAGCACAGCAGTTGGCACAGTGCGAGTATTGCCATGAAGAGTAGCTTCCTTCCCAGAAGAGCTAGGAACTCAGCTCACATTTGTGGGACCCAAGACAGCTCCCTGCTTGAGGGAGAAAAGAGGCGAGATAAGCAGCTCCCACCTTACCTTGTTCCGCATGTCCAGCACTTCTTGGGGGTCGGTATAGAGAGGCACAAATTGGTTTGGGTTTTCGATCCGTATTGGCATGCCACTGCTAGATTTCTCCACCTCATCAGCCTTCATCCACTGAACACACACAAGGTGCGGTGGGTAAGGCAAAGGAATAAAGTCACCATGTCCTCCCCCATGGCCCACCCCCTGAGATCTGGGTCAACTGGCCTCCATGGAAGGTCAGCAAGCCTACACAAAGATGTTCTCTCTTCTTGGGCCTCCTTGATACCTGTCTGTCTCCCAGAACAGAGATGGGCAACAAATGACCCAGCTTCCAAAGAAGGCCCCCAGGTCAGTCATAAAGAGCAATGGAGACTAGGGCTCAGAACCTTGACAACCAGCTTTGACAAACAGGTGGCCACTTGAGCTTCAGTATCAAATGACTTAATGATTTTAATTTGCAGGGCTTCATTCTTTTTTTTATGAAGAGCTATTCTATTTGGCTGCTAGTTACTTTAATGTTAACAAAAATCAAATTAAATTAAGAGTGGATGTGTATGGATGTGTATGAATGTGTATTGTGTGCATGTGTGTGTATGAGTGGGGAGATAAAGAGAGGGAGAGAGAGAGAAGAGGGGTGGGAAAGAAGACTACATAATAGAAATTAATATCCCACCCACCTCCTGGGTTTATGTCAGATGTACAGTCCAATGTTGGATAGCCATGAACTTCACAGAAGCCCCCTCTGTATGGGGGAGCAAGAAGCAAAAACCAATTGCTCCTGGGTTTTGTGCTGTTTGTTGGGAATAAGGTCCAGCCACCCCCTGGAGAAATCTGCTCCTCAGGCCCAAACTCTCAGTGCAGAGGTGCAAGAAGGTGACCAGAGGTCTTGTGGGCATAAGCAGCTGCTCCCAGGTGCCCAACAGGAAGCCCTACGGGGCAACTGTAATAATCCAGATCCAGGGATATTTGTTCTGTTCTCCCTTTAAAGCTGTCTAACCCACAGAGGTATTTGGGCACCCTCCCTCCCGATCTCCTCCTTACTGTGGTCTTGGGCCGGGGGCTGCCCATGCTCCTCTGGACCTCGTCAGCCACATTGACCCGTAGGTAGGTGTTGGGCGTGTTGAGCCAACGGGTCTTCTCCTTCTGCTGTTTCTGGGCGTACTGCCGCAAGGCAGGCATTGGAACACCATCCTCCTCAAACACGAAGGCTGTGACGGTGGCTGGAATCTCCACCTCGCTTTTGTGTTTGGTTTTCTCTTGAACAAAGGGATAGCGGTATGTGTAGCCTGTTCTGTAACCCTAAAAAAGACAGAAATAGAATCACTTACTGTGGAGAAAATGGCCTCCATGCACATATCCCATACACACTTGTCCCTTCTCTGTAAGGGACTCTGTTTAAACAAAAATCCCCATAACACAACGTAGGCCTTGCTGTTCCTTTTGTGTGTTTCAGAACTGTTCCCTCGTCCTGGTCTCCCCAACATCTTCCTCCCTTCACCCCAACAAGCCCTGTGATCAGAGCTGAGAAAATCCCCAGAACCTGTGGACCGAACAGACAGGGCTCCTTACCCTGACAGTGCTCCAATTTTTCATCTACTCCAGTGGTTCTCAACCCTGGCTGCACATTGGGATCGCTTGGGAGCTTTACAAATGCTGGTTCCTGGCCCCCTCAGAGCTGCTGATTTCCGTGGGCAGTGAGGCCGTCTGGACTGCAGGATTTCTGATAGCCTCCCAGATGATTCTAATAGTCTACCCTCATTTGCTCAACTCCAACGCTTCGTAACTAGTTCCTTCTTAGAACCCTGAAATCTGACTCAAAAAGATCCTAAGCAAGACCATGTCCCAAGCTGGAAATGACTGCTGCTTGGTGAAAAAATTCAGTCATCTTGGCAGCTTCTGAAGCAATGATTTCTTGACTTTGCCTACCTTCTTCTTTTATTTTTTTTTAAATTAAAATGCTAGAAAAATCAGGCAATATGCAAAAACATAAAGAAAATGGGGGGACACACCTGGGTGGCTCAGTGGATTAAGCATCTGACTCTTGATTTCAACTCAGGTCATGATCTCATGATTTGTGAGTTCAAGACCTGTGTCAGGCTCTGAGCTGACAGTGTGGAGCCTGCTTGGGACTCTCTCTCCCTCTCTGCCCCTCCCCTGCCCACTTGCTCTCTCTCTCTCTCTCAAAATGAATAAATATTTAAAAAAGAAAGAAAAAATGGGTTTTAATATAAAAATCTCATCCCCAGAGAAAATTACTAAAAATCTTTCTGGTCATCTCTGTAAATGCACATACACATACACACACACATACACACACACACACACACACGCACACGTATGTAAGTATATACATAATATAGAACTGTAGAATATGTATGGTAATTGTATATAATATGTATGTTCTATAATTATATATATACACACATATATATATATAATAGTATATAAATGGGGCCATACTGCATAAACAGCTTTATAAGCTGCTTTTCTAGTTTATCAATGCGGTTTGGAGATTTTTTTCATGTTATTTAACCTATAAACACATAGAAACTTTATTTTTTTTAATGTTTTTTTATTTATTTCTAGGAGAGAGAGAGAGAGAGAGCGTGAGCAGGGGAGGGTCAGAGAGAGAGGGAGTCACAGACTCTGAAACAGGCTCCAGGCTCTGAGCTGGCAGTCAGCACAGAGCCTGACGTGGGGCTCAAACCCACAAACCACAAGATCATGACCTAAGCGAAAGTCGGACGCTTAACCAACTAAGCCACCCAGGCGCCCCTGAAACTTTAAAAAGCTGCTTAATATGCCAATGAGTGAATGTACCATAATTTATCTAACCAATAATGGTTGATACTTTGTCATTTTCAAAATATCATAAACAACCCTGAAATATGCATATTTATACATTTTTTTCTTTAGGCAGTTAAATGATTCTCTCTTTGACATAAATTCCTAGAATAAAAATTACTGGGTCAAAGGGTATACATTAAAAGTTTTCACAGGGGCACTTAGGTGGCTCAGTTGGTTAAGTGTTCAAATCTTGGTTTTGGCTTAGGTTGTGATCTCACAGTTCATGAGTTCAAGCCTTGTGTCGCGCTCCATGCTGGTAGTGTGGAGCCTGCTTGGGATACTCTCTCTCCATCTTTCCTTGCCCTTCCCCTGCTTACACATGCACTCTCTCTCTCTCAAAGCAAATAAAAACCTAAAAATAAATAAATAAATAAATAAATAAATAAAAGTTTTCATATATTTGCCATCTTCCCAAAGTGTTGAGCTAATTTACACATTTACCACTTGTGCTAGAGTTCCCAGTTCTCATCCCCCTTCCATCTGCTGAATATTGCTGAGGTAAAATCCTTATGGGGCGCCTGGGTGGCTCAGTTGGCTAAGCATCTGACTTTGGCTCAGGTCATGCATGATCTCACAGTTTGTGAGTTCAAGCCCTGCATCAGGCTCTGTGCTGACAGCTCAGAGCCTGGAGCCTGCTTCAGATTCTGTGTTCCCTGTCTCTCTGCCCCTCTCCCACTCGCATTCACTCTCTCTCTCTCTGAAAATAAATTAACATTAAAAAAAAGAAGTAAAATCGTCAAAATATGTTTTGCTCTTTTTTTGATTACTCGCAAAATGGCTATTTTTAATGGCCACTTGAAACCTCTTCCTTTGTAAATTGTGTTGTTTGTTCTTCTATTGAGATGTTTATCTCTTTCACATTGACTTGTAATATCTCTTTTAACATTAAGGGTATTAATCTTTTGACTGTCACAGATACTGCAAATATTTCCTCCCATAAATTGTCTTTTAGCTTTGTTTATGATGGGGGAAATGGCTTATAAAAATATATTTTTAATTTTAATATAAACATATCTGTCAATATTTGCCATCATGATTTCAGACTTTCCTGTCATGCTTGACAAGTTCTTCCCCAACACAAGGGCATCAAAAATATAAGTCTGTTTTTTAATATCTGTAAGAGTTTACTTTTTATGTCCAAATTCCTGGTAAATCAGGAGTTTATCTTGTTGAAAGAAATGAGGTAATAATCCATCTTATTTATTTCCTAAAAGGCTAGCAATCTTTTACCCACTGCTTTATAAGATGCCTACTTGCCCTGGGTTAAATTCTCATACATCTAGGATCTATTTCTGGATTCTCCAAGCTGTCCCACTTATCTCCCTGCTCATTTTGTGCTGGTGATCTGTTTAGTTACTAAAGCTTTTTCTTGCTTTCCCATGAGGTAAGACAAATATCCCTAATTACTCCTCTTTTTTTAGGATGTTCCTAACCATTCTGAATTTCACCTGGAAGAAAATTTTTTTCTAAATCCTTATGCCTCCTGCCATCACTGACAGAATTACATTAAGTTTACTAAAATGGAAAATCAACCTCTTGACCCTGTGGAGTTTTTTTTTTTTTTTTAATGCTTTTATTTATTTCTGAGAGAGAGAGAAAGAGTGAGACCACGTGAGCAGAGGAGGGTCAGAGAGAGAGGGAGACACAGAATCTGAAGTAGGCTCCAGGCTCTGAGCTAGCTGTCAGCACAGAGCCTGACACAGGGCTCAAACCCATGAGCCATGAGATCATGACCTGAGCCGAAGCCGGACGCTTAACTGACTGAGCCACCCAGGCGCCCGGACCCTGTGGAATTTTCTAACCAGGAGGAAACTGTAGCTCTTTACTGAGTTTAAGTTTATGACTTTCTTTAAATTGGTTCTGCTTAATGTTTTATGTCCTTGCTGCATTTGCAAATAGGATTATTTTCTCCCATTATTATATTTTCAAATACATTATTATATTATATATTATGAAGCAAAAACCTATTTTTAATACATTTTCATAATTGACTACTTCAAAATGCAATCTTTTTCTCCCTCTCTTCCTTCCTTCCTTCCTTTCTTTTTTTAAGGAGAGAGTTTGAGTGAGGGATAGGCAGAGGGAGAGGGAGAGAGAGAATCCCAATGCAGAGCTCTGTCTCACAACTGTGAGATCATGACCTGAGCTGAAATCAGTTAGAGGTTTAACTGACTGAACCATCCAGGTGCCCCTAAAAATGCACTCGTTATTTCTAATATTTTTTTTCAGTTGACTCTTTTTTACTTTATAGGCATTTAACCACACTATCTATAAAAGTAACTTGGGGGGCACCTGCGTAGCTCAGTTGGTTAAGCCCCCAACTTTGGCTCAGGTCATGATCTCACAGTTCGTGGGTTCAAGCCCCATGTCAGGCTCTGCGCTGACAGCTCAGAGCCTGGAGCTTACTTTGGATCCTGTGTCTCCCTTTCTCTCTGCCCCTCTGCCTCTTGTGCTGTTTCTCTCTCTCTCTCTCAAAAATAAGCATTAAAAAAATTTTAATAGTAATTTTGTTTCCTTTTCAATGTTTATTTTTATGACTCCCACTTTAGAGTTCCAGTATTATTCCAGAACGATATTAAAAGTGCTGACAGCAAGAATCATTGTTTTGTTTCAAAATTTAATGGAAATACTCTAGTGTTTTACCATGATTTATTTTAATCGTGTTAAATAAATGTCCTGTCTTAACAGCTGTTAACACCTGTCTCCTGTCTTAACAGCTATTATATTTATAGATCGATTTTATATTTTTATCAAATAATTTTTGACACTAAAATGACCAAAAGGTTTTTATCCTTTGACTCATTCATATCACAAAATATTTTTATTTTTTTAATGTTTTTTTTTAAATTTATTTCTGAGAGAAGGAGAGAGCTAGCGTGAGCAGGGGAGGGTCAGAGAGAGAGGGAGTCACAGACTGAAACAGGCTCCAGGCTCTGAGCTGGCAGTCAGCACAGAGCCCGACGTGGGGCTCGAACCCACGAACCGCAAGATCACGACCTAAGCGAAAGTCGGACGCTTAACCCACTAAGCCACCCAGGCGCCCCTCATATCACAAAATATTTTAAAAGATTTATAATAGTAAAATAAAACATCCTTGAATACTAGGAATGAGCCTTCACTTGGTTACTATGTATTATTATTCATTGTTATGCAGGATGCTATCTGCTAGTGTTCAGAAAGCATTTTTCATCAACTCAAAGTAAGACTGGTCTGAATGTATTATGATCGTTATGATTTTGTCCTACTTTCATCCTCTGAAACAGTTTAAAATAGCATACAAATTGTCTGTTTCTTAAAGATTTGAAAGAATTCCTGTATGAAACTTTCTGGCTCTGGTGCTTTATTTAGACATGGATTACTTGGCACACGAATGTTTATGGGAATTGTATTTTCATTGTGGATTGTATTTTTCATCATTATAATGTGGCCCTCATGGTCAGCATCGTAATAAGGTGGAGATGATTTGGAGGGGCTGGAGGCAAGGGGGGAAAATGTTAATTATCACAATTACCTGGACACAATAAAGAGGGTCCCAGGTGGTAGCAATGAGGAAGGGAACATGAATCAGATATAGAAACGGTCTAAGGATAGGTTTTATCCTTCACTTCTCAATCAATGTTATAGTCTCTTCCTGAAAACAGTACCTCATTGTGCATGTTTTCCTCTTGTTTTCCAATGGTCTCCTGTTTATATGTCATATAGTCAACTAAATTGTTAGCCCCTAGAAGAAGGAAGAATGTCTTAACATTCTTTTGTAGCCTTTTAAGCCCACTCCTGGACACATGCCAGTTAACTCCTTACAGGATTGATTCATTCAATCATTACAACAGCAAACTGTTAGAATACTGCTCACCAGAATTAGGAAATTAGTGTGTTATGTGTTTTCTACATTGATGTCATGAAATAAGAAAGGCAGAACTAACCACAAAGGAGTGAACTGAGCCACAATATGAGACGGCATCCACAGCCCTTAGAAGGGGTGGCAAAGGCCATCATTGTAGAAGACTCAACTACTATTAGAATGACCACAAATTCTGAGTCAGGTGCCAATCGATGAGGCTTTAACAACTTAACCCTGATGCTGGCAGTTCTCACACCCACCTAATGTGTCCCACTGACTGGTTACAGGGGGCTGAGCCTCAATGGACCAGCCTAGAAGGACAACGGCACAAGACTCACCAGGTTGTCCAGCATCCTCATGAGGGCCTCAAACTCATGCTCCCCCAGCCGGCTCTTCTGCATGGGTCCGAAGGTGCTCCCTGCCCACTGCACGGAGCCCACTTCGTGCGGTCGGTGCTTCTCCTGCTCCAGGAGGATGAGGTTCTCCACTCCGCCAGCGCTGGACAGGGCGGACACCTGCAGCAAAGAGCAGAGACCTCAGAGACCTCAGAGACCTCAGAGAGAGAGAGAGAGAGAACACATGTCTAGAAATGTGAGCTCTATGTGGCTTTTTCTTCCCAGAGGAAACTTACTGGGCATGCACCCATTTCCAGGAACAGACGTATTAGCAATTTCTTTTTTTTTTTTTAATTTTATTTATTTCTGAGAGAGAGAGAGAGCGTGAGAGCATGAACAGGGGAGAGTCAGAGAGAGAGGGAGACACACAATCTGAAATAGGATCCAGGCTCTGAGCTAGCTGTCAGCACAGAGCCCGACGTGGGGCCCGAACCCACGAACCATGAGATCATGACCTGAGCCAAAGTCGGATATTCAACCGATGAGCCACCCAGGGAAGCAATTTCTTTCTTAGTGTTAGTTCTTAGAGACTACAGAGGAGGAGAAAATGATGCAAATGTTAAACCTTAAGAATAAAGCAATACGGAGGACTGAAAAGTTACCTGGGATACAGACCAACCTCAAATTGTGATTATTTTGCCGGTGGGGGGGGTGGGGGTACAGTAAAATCAGAAGGGGCTCCAAAGGGGACTTCAATTCCTGTCTGTAATATTTTATTTCTTCTAGAGGAAAAGATCTGAAGTAAAAAGTCTTCTACTTTTTAAATCTGATTGGTGAATAGTGGGTGGATAGTTTATTATTCTTCTGCACCTTTCTCTTTCTCTGTTTGAAATCTCTCCTCCTGTTTTTTGTTTTTGTTTTGTTTTGTTTTGTTTGGGGGGGATTGGTGGTTTTTGTTGTTGTTGTTGTTTTGAAAAGCTAGCCTATTGAAAGAAATAGGCTAGCTTCTCAGGCAATAAAAAACACCAGAGTAGCCTGATGGCCTGAATTAACAGGTCTAAAGGAAGAATTCATCTTCCACAGTTGTATCAGTCAGTGAAGGAAACCCAGAAGAAGGAGACACATGAAGTGCTGATAGTACACAGCCGGACACTATGCAGGAGTCAGGCAGCTTCACCAATGGACTTGGAGTATTTGTCCCACCGTCACGGGTCCATGGAAAGGGGCTATAACAAGTGGCTGCAGGCAACGGACTCTGAGTATTAGGGCAAGAGGTACGTGTATACAGCAGGCGATTTTAATGGTCCTAAAAAAAAGATTTTCTAATCTGACTAATTTCCTGATTTCCTAATTCTATATTCATCTAATGGTACATTCTAGTTGTGTCATGAATCTACTACTCAGACATAATTGGTTATGATTTGGCTTACAGGGTGAGCCCAGCAACAGGGAGAGACGGTGGTTTCTAAATATTCTAGATAGTGAGCCAGGTATTTTGTGCTGCAAATCTGATTGATATTTGATATCTCTTCTAGGCCTACTTATTATAGGAGAATGCTCAATTATATAAACATTCGGTGTTCCAGTTTTTACTGAAAATGAAAGTATATAATTTAGCTTGCTGGCAAACAGAAGTCTAGGAATCCGTGAGGCTCTGGGACACACTCTGGAGTGTGTTAAATTCAGCAGTGTAACAAATGGCCCCTATGAGATGTCCTAGAGGTCAGCCAGGGCACCTCTGCAAGGTGACCCTTGTCACCCTGTGAAGTGGAGGAAGCAAGAACACTCATCTTCTATACCCTCTTCATCCAAAACATGTGTCCAGTGGAAGGTCCCATGTTTATCTTAAAAAGATGACTCCATGCCCTAGCAAAAATGGAGACTTCAGTAGGCATTTACTTCCCTCTTCCACCAAAACTGAAGATCCCTGTCCAATATCCCTGGAAGATGCTCAGTTCTGTGCCTAGTGAGGCAGTGTACTATGCTGTTGTCCAAATGTGAGAAGGGTTACAGTGAGTTCACACAGATTACACTGAGATCAAACCTCCCTTTTTGTTATGTGCATTCATTAGTCCAGTTCTGCCTTCTGTCGCTGTTTCTAATGCTGAAGTCCCTCACACTCACACCGAGGCTGCGGGTGTGGGAATGCACTCTCACTGGCCACAAATCCCAGCTGGTCAATCAATTACCTAGTTCATCCTGGATCCCTACCTGGCCAAGGGAGCGCTTCAGCCCTAGGACCCTGAAGCCCTGACTTGGCATGCAGGCTGTCAGCTGATGTTTCCCTGACTGACTTGGAGTGAAACCCTGACTATCTTTCCCACCAACCCTCATTGTCCCAAGAGGCAGTGCAATATAGTGTTTAAGGACATGGACTTGGGACACAGGCTGCCTGGGTTTGAATCCTAGCTCTGCTACTCACTCACCGTGTGACTTGGAGCAGTTATTTACCCTCTTTGGGCCTCAGTTTTCTCATCTGTAAAATGAAAATTTGTAATATCTACCTCATGAGCACTATATAGGGTAATATTTCTAAAGCACCTAAAATAGCACCTGGTGCATAGAGTGCCACATAAATGTTTATGATAAATAAATTCTGAGGTTTTGCTATGAAAGAACAATATGCCTTGGGGGTTAGTGGTTATGGAGGAGGAAAGAACTGCCCCCATCCTTAGGAGAGCTGCCTCCTTCCACCTCCCTCTCCCCCATCAGTTTCCATGGTGATGGGTAGCAGATGGGGAAGAATTGCCTGAGCTTCTTCCCAACTGCCTGTAAGCAGAGCAGGGAGTTGCGTCTCTCAGCTGGGGATGACCCAGATTCCTAGAACCCCAAACTGATGGAGAGCAGTGAGTACTCTGTCCCCAGAAGAGTGGACTAGGCTTTTAGTCTTGAACCACCAAAATGACCGCAGCCATGTTTGCTTGTTTGCCAAGGTCACTGGGGGAGAAAAGTAGGCCCACGATGGAAATAGAACCTCAGTGCTGGCTGTTCCACTAGAAATGACGCGTCCAGGGGCTGCAATCCCAGCAGCATCTGCAGACTGCCAGCCCTTGGGATCGTCCATGTCTTAAACCACCCACACTTCTGGTCTAATCTTGCCTGGTTTGCTTACACACCTTCTAGCTTCCTTTCTCTCTCTAGAAGCCTCCCTTCCTGCTCCACAAGCTGAAAAAAAAAAAAGCCACTGGAGCTTTTCTGGGGGTTATTTGCCTTAACTGCCTGATGCATTTGAACAAGGTCACATCGAGTCAGTCCTGACTGAAAAAAGAAAGTGACAGCAGTCAGGGCCAAGAGAAGCAGCTGAGGCTGTTGGGGCCGGTGGCCGGCAGCTCTGCACTTTCATCTCCTCGGCGGCTAGACAGCCATCCTGCCTTTGGTTAAACTGCACAGAGGCCGTTTTGCAGTGTGGAGCGGTCTTCACCATGTGGGGGGATACATGGGCATCTCTCTCCATTTATTTTAGCGCCATGCTGTCTCTGCAAAGCTATAAGAAATATTTTCTCATGGAAGCCTCTTCTTCGGCAGGAAGATGGGGAACTGGTGAGGGCTCAGATATGGGGAAAACAAAGTGGGCATATCAGAGGCTCTGCCAGGTTCTAACACCAGAACTCAGGGGCAGAGCTCAGAGCCAGCATCTCTGGTTGGGGCAGGGAGGCCACTGCATCTGAAAGGTACTGCCTTGATCCTGGTTCTACCTTTTCCACCTTCTCTGGCTCTGACCACTGTTTGAGGGGTGGGGGGACTTTTTTCAACACCTCTTCATCATTGTCTTAATAACTGTCCTCTCAACATAGTCCTTTATTTATTTATTTATTTATTTATTTATTTATTTATTTATTTTAATGTTTTTATTTCCAGGAGAGAGAGAGAGAGAGACAGCGTGAGCGGGGGAGGGTCAGAGAGAGAGGGAGTCACAGACTCTGAAACAGGCTCCAGGCTCTGAGCTGGCAGTCAGCACAGAGCCTGACGCAGGGCTCGAACCCACGAACCGCGAGATCATGACCTAAGCGAAAGTCGGACGCTTAACCGACTAAGCCACCCAGGCGCCCCTCAACATAGTCCTTTAAAAACCATTGAGAACAGTGCCACTTGTAGTCTCCACCTGGGATGCTTCTGGGATTGTCCCATTCTTCCCCCACCCCTCAACTCCCAAGACAAAAGCAGGCTTTCCTCCTGCAGCACTGCTCTGCCTAGACTGGCCAGAAGAGGGCAGACAGGACACCAAAGGACCTTGCAAGGAGCTGACTCATCCTGGAGCAGTCAGCCTCCCCTTGTGTCAACCGAGTCCTAAAAATACCATCTGCAACACCTCTCCTTGTCTTTCATCCTTGAGGGGGATGAAAGGCCCCATCCTCGCAAGGACTCCACAGGCCCCATGTCTCCGGCTGAGGAAACACAAATTATGGAAAGCAAGTCCCTGACCCAAAGGCACACATCCCAGAGCTGGGAAGGATGGCTGGGAAGGCCTTTCAGCCTGCAAGGCCACCTTCCTCACCCGACAGCTTGCCACACTGAAAGTAGACTGTGTTTGGCTTATCCAACACCGCTTCGTTAACTGGCAGGCAGAACTCTAGGGTTTCTGTTCTCCTATAGCTTCTCCACCAATTCCTCTAGGGGTCGCCTGATCACTGCCACTCCCCACCCACCCTCCATCTCATCCCTTCCTAGTTAGGAGAACTTTGTGATAGGCTCTCTGGACATGACCTTGGGGTTTCTCTGGTGTTCAGCCTTGCCATGTCAAACTTCACCCTGGTCTGCTCCCCACTTCTCTTTCCAGGCTGGACCATGTTCATAGTCTTTGCAAACTACACCCTCCAGACAAAATAAAAAAGAAAAGACCTACCTATGTGGTATCTATTTGGCATAGCTAGATGTAACAGTTATACCACAGGTGGGACCTGAGCATGGTAAGGACTTTATATCCCCTCTTATGGTTTCTCCCACTGTCCAGTTGATGGGCCTACAAAGTTCCCTGTCCTGAGCACTGACCCTCAAGAGGGAGGTAGGCACTGGTTGTTAGATAACAATGATAAATATTTTAAAGCTACAAAACTGATTCTAAGTGTAAAACCTTAGAAGGATAGGTGGTGCCAAGGCAGAGAAACAGGGCAATGCTTTTAGATAGCTGGCTCAGAGGACTCCTTAAATCATAGCCAGTGGGGCCTCCGTCAGAGCCACTCTGGGGCCCACTCCCCAGAGGAACTTGCTTACTTGTATCTCACATGCAGCCTGCAGGTGGAAGATCTTATAAAACGCCTCCTCCACGGTGTCACCTAGAGCAACCACTCCATGGTTTCTTAGCACCAGGATCTGCAGAGGAGCAAAAGGTCAATTAAAACTTCAAGCCTTTTAAACTTTAGTTAAGAAGGAGAGGTTTTTCATTTATTCCAGATCAATTTCCACACCCAATTGCAAAGCACCCCAGCACCCCTCCCCAACTCCTTGTTCATTCCCCCCCCCCACAAACACCCCTATGCCATCCCACATGTGATTTTAACCCTAGGCATCATCCCTAAGAAATTGAAGACACCTTGTAAAACTGAGACTTGATAGCTTGCTGGATTTCTTTGGGCAGTACCTGGATTTTTAGGCTTTGGAGGGCTTAGAAATCTGAAAATTTGGTGTCTGTGTTAAAGTGAATGAAATTACTCGATGTTCAATATTAGGGACTAACCTCAAAAGCAACCCCTTGGTCCTGTGACTTAGTTGACTTGACTCAAAACCCAAGGGGGTGGCTCTCTCAGGGGTGGCTCTGCAGAAACAGGTGAGTCATGTCACCTCTCTGCACCTCACGTCTCCTCTCATGAACTCGGTGAGGTCCTGGCAGCTCTAAGGCCCTATAGCTCTGTGAAAGAGGCTGTAGTGACCTTCTACTCTAACTCTCTGGTTTTACAGAAGAGGAAACAGAGGCCTAAGGAAATTGAAAGTCTCCCAGCTCGTCAGGGGCAGAATCTGAACTAGAACCCAGGTGTTTTCACTGTCAGTGCAATGTTTGTGAGTCAGCCAGGGGCAGGTAGATAAAAAGGGAGTTGGGGAGAAACAGAAATGAATTTACACTAAGAGCCTGACTCCCCAAAGTTCAGATGCAGAAACTGTTCCTTGGTTGGTTTTATTCTCAAGAACTCTCTGAAAACAGATGATGCCCACTTAGTAACGGGGACACAGATCAATGTGTTAGATTTGTCCTTGCAGACCTGGGCTGAGGCCTAGTGGCTTTATCATCATATTCTCTATTGCTGAATGAAAACAGCTGGAATTTTTTTCCTCTCAAGTGCCAGAGAAACAGGAAAAGATGATGACTCTGGCCTCCAAAAGACTGCACACAGCAAAGGCCCCATGTCTCAAATTCTTCTAGCATTTCATAGATGTGAACATCTCCTCCTTCTCTGGGCACTGCTAACGAGGCTTTAGAGGACATCAGGAGAGAGTGGCAGGGATTTCTCCTCTGTGTCAGAGATGGGAAGGCAGGGACTTTCAGACTGGAAATGATGCAGGCAGTAAGAGCCTTTTGAGGACAGGAACAAGCGTCCATCAACCCAGGCTCAGCTCTAAAGGTACCTTGCAGGTACTAAGCTGGCCACCCCTAATTATGTGCTGTTAAATACAGGTCTTTAGATTTAAAACAAACAATAGTGAGATTCTGTTTCTATCAAGTTAGCAAAAAAAAAAAAAAAAAGGTGAGAACACTCAAGTTTGGGGAGACTAGGAAGCAGCCTTCCCACATACCAGATGCTGGAGAGGAGAGGGCAATTTGCCTATATGAAGTAAGAGTTCTAAAATGTGCATCCTTAGGCATTTATCCTAAGGCATTTATCCTAAGGATGTGGTCTCAAGCATACACAGAGATTGAAATGAAAGGATTTTCATTGTGTGTTGTTCATATCAAGAAAAAAATTGGGGGGAAAACCCTCCGAATGTCCAACCACAGAGGACTCTTAAGGTAAAATGGTGACACAGCCATTCATACAATGAGGTATATTTTAATAATCTAAAATAGTGGCTTAGAAAATATTTAATAACATACAGTGGTATTTATTGGATATTGCTAAGAGAGGAAAGGAAAATATATTTTATGATCCTAGTTTTATAAGTATATGTGACTATATTTTGAGTAAGCACCAAAATCTCAGGGTAGTGTGATAGAGAGAATCTCACTTCACTTTTTGTTTATATGCAACTTCGAAACATTGTCCACTGAACATGTGTCACTCATGATGTGGGCTTTTGACAATCCCACCCCACAGCATCTTCCTGGAACAACTGAGCAAACCTTGCAGGTGGGTCCAAGGCACTTCTGCAGGCTGATTCGATCTGCTTCCTGCTCCATCCCACCATTGAAGTCGTAGTAGGCCATGTCCCCCACCAGCAGGGCATTGTGGGAGACAGGCAGGAGGCCACACTTCATGGCCGACACCTTCAGTGAGACAGTGGAATGGTTAGCACCTGCAGCTCCCCCAGCTCCTCTGTCACATCTGCCCTCTCCTCAGAGTGGCACAGCCAGGCTCTCCTCTGGGGACTACTGGTGGAAGGGAACAAGCCCCCAACAAAGGCACTGCCCTTTGCCTCTGTTGCACCTGACTGGGGTCTGGCTTTCTGGCTTCTTCCTCTGATGTCTTTCCAGATTTCCCAAATCTTACCATTTTTATAACAGCCATGTCAATATACCACTTTCTAAACTTGCTACAGAGAATGCCCTTGAGAGAGCTGGTGCTGCTGTCCACCCCCTGCTTTTCTCTTGTCCTAGGACTCTGGGAAGAAGCTGGGGTGAGGCAGGGTCCAGGGTCCTCTGGGATGGGCTGGTGGAAACCCTCAACCTTGAGGTCAGGGCAGAAACAGGGAGGCTCACTGAGAAGCCTCATCTTGTGATGGGGCAATAAGAGCACTAAGGAACAGGGTTAAAATCCATGCCCCACACCCTGCCTTTTATTAAAAGCAAGGGGCATGGAGAGGTTTAGGAAAGCCTCTTGCCTTTGTTCACTCATTCTGCCCCATGAGTAAGCCCGGACTCTGCAGAAATGGATACTCAGCACAAATAGATCGTTCAGTCTTGGCCCAAATTCAGGAAAATCTGAGTCCTCATAAGTAGTGTGCTTCATAGCAAAAACCCCAGGCCAGTGACATGCTTGCTCTGTCCTTGTAGGTATAAGGCCTGGAGGTCAGAAAGATGGGTTGAAGTTTGAGGAAAAACACCCAGAACTGGTTGGTTGTTGCCTTTCCAAATGATACTGCAGTGTCTCAGGTACACATGGAGAAATGACCAGAGCCATTGAAGAGACAACCTGATACTTGAGGGTATTCCTTCTACTCTCTCCTGGTTTTCCTTGCTCCAATTCTCAGCTCTCAGCCTACCCTGGGCTGTGAGAAGTGGACAAGTCCAGGCTCCCACCATATTATCGTTTATCAAGATCTCTCCTCACTAGAGGCTGGGCTGGGGGCAGGCCAGTAGGACGCACCTGAACAGAAACTCCAGATATGCTGCACCTGGGTAAGTGGTGCTTGCGTGTGTGTGCGGCAGGGTAGGGGATGCAGTAGAGCAAACACTGCACATTGTTACCTCCTCTCCCCCAAACCAAGACTTCTGTGCTTAGAAAAATGGAGAGGATTAGTGTTCCCACATTGGGGGTACCCTCTCCTCAACATGGCCTGAGTTCCAGGAAATCTTTCCAGAACTGTTTTAAAAGAGGAGATCACCACTAGCTTGGGGGGGCCTAGGTCTTCCCTCAGGGAGAACCTCAGAGAAGCGGGTAACGGGGGTCTGCCACCAGCCTCGGGGTCTGAAATGCTGGCCAAAGGAGTGGACACTCACGGCTGCTGTGGCTGGCGTGTGCAGGTGGATGATGCAGCGCACGTCGGGTCTGGCTGCGTAGATGGCCGAGTGCAGACAGAAGCCCGTGGTATCCACTGGGAAACAGCTGCTGCCCTTCTCCACCACCTCTCCCAGGATGTTCACTTTGATCTGGGCCAGCGAAGAAGAGACACTGATGGCCCTGTGGCAAGTCTCCCCGCACGTGAGCCAGCACACACCTACCCACTGTATTCAGGCATTCTGGCACACCAGGAGCCAGGGCGGGGCTTGGCGTTAGGAGCAAAAGAGACCTGGTTCCTGCCCTCAGTGAACACACAGGCCAATGGGCGACATGGGTGATTATAGTTCAGCAGGAAAAACACTGGAGCAGAGTTTCTCAAACTTTACTGGGCATAAGAATCACCTGTCAAAACGCAGATTCTGATTCAGTAGGCCAAGAATGAGGCCCAAGAGTCTACATTTCTGACAAGTTCCCAGGTGATACCCAGGCTGCTGGTCCATGGACCATACCTTGGGTAGAGGTGCTAGAAGATAGTCACAGAATTCTCTAGAAACAGATGGAAGGAGTCTTTGATCCCAGTAAAAGGAGATCAGAGAAGTCTTCCCAAAAGAAGTAACATCTGAGATTTTTTTTTTTTTACTCTTTACTTTGAATTTTCAAACATCATACACAAAGGTAAAGAGAATAGTATAATGAACATCCATTTACTAATCTCCCAAAAGCTAGGTCTTAAAGGACAGGTAGAAACTAGTCACTGGTCTTATAATATAATCTGCTTTTGATGCCAAGGAGGTAGTAGGTGTCATGGCTAAAAATCACACATTCATGTGATGTGTGTGTGTGTGCGTGTGTGTGCGCACGCACACGCACACAATTGCTGGTGGCTCTGGCTGGCCCTGCACAGTCAGGCTGTGGTGTGCCCTGCTAACATAAACAATTTCACAGAACATCACCACCAGAGAAGGTCACTTTGTGACACAGCAAAAGATTATTCCTTAATCGTGCTTAAGCATAGACAAAAACGACCCTGTGCAAGTACAAACATGCGCACACCCCCTCCTGGCTAATGGCAAACATTGGAGCTTTTTCATCAATGGCAGCTTCTGCCTCACTCCCTCCCCCGACTCCTAGCTCACGGAACTGCCCCTGTGCCTGACAGTGCATTATCCAAGGCAGCATCCCCTCCTTAGGACCAGCCAGCTGTCCTCATGTCACTTCTCCTGCACACAGCTGGCAGGGTGGGTACCATGGCTACACAGAGACCTGGCCGCATCACTCACCTGCTTACAGTGCTTTGGAGGCTCTGCATGCCCAGCAGAATAAAGTAAAATCACCATAACAATGGCTTTTGGTGCCATTCATCACTTGGCCCCTGTCACTCTTCCAGCCTTACCTCCGGACACCTAACAGGTGAGCCAGATGCAGTCACTCACTGCCCTCTCAAGTTCACCATGATCTGGTATGCGCCTGGCTTTGTGCAAACTGTCTTCCTGCTGAGGACACAGCTGCCTCTGCCCAGCCTCTCCCTGCGGCCCTGGTCTATGTCTGCTTATCCTGTGGGTTTCTGAGGACTCAGCTCCTTCACCACCGGGTCAACCCAACTCCTCTGCCCCTCCTACTGGGGCTTCCAAAACTTCCTGCTGTATGAGAGCATTCTTCACTCCGAGTTTACTTGCCTGCTCCTCCACTAAGCCACGAATGCCTTAAAGGCAGAGCCTGTGCCACCTTGTGTCTTTGGTTCCAGTCTGACTCACCATGACCTTGTGAGGTGGTCCTGTGCAAGTCACTTACCCCCTGGGCACCAGCGTCCTCTCCTCCCCGTAAAGTGGCCTTGGCAGTCCTCATGGTCCTGGCCCAGCTGGCATGCCTGGACTCAACATGTGTGTGTCAAGGCTGGCAGAGGCCTGGAGGTGGCGCCCTCTGGCCTTGGCTATGCAGCACAGAAGCTGTAGCCCCTGCAGCCACTGGGCCTCTTCTGCTTGTAAGACAGTCCTTTCTACTGCTTTCCTCCTCCCACCCAGGAATCTTTCCTGATCAAGACCAACTTCTGGAAGTCTCTTCCTACTACACCTAAAAGGAACAAGAGAACCATAAGGGGTCCCAGAAGCTATCTCAAGTGGCAGCAGCACTAGGCAGGTCTTGCAGAATGCTTGAGAGAAAGTACTGGCTGTTGTTCTAATATATCTCCCCTAGGAAGGCCTCCTCACTCCCAGCCTTTGGGGTCCAATCCCAGGTACAGGAAAGAACCCAGGCCCATCTCCTCCTCCTCCCTCCTACTGCACCTTGCATTTGGTCTCATGGTTGGGTTGTGCTGTGGGTATTCTGCTTCAGGGCCATGTGTCTTCTCTGGCCCACCAGACTGCAAGCTCTACAAGGGACAGGACAACAGTGGCTAATCTGGAGATGGCCTGTCACTGTAGGCTGCTGTTGTTTTAATAAGGAATAGGCAGCGAGATTCCAGACTATACTCACCAGGCTGGATGCGGTGACTTCACTACAAGAAACTCCCTTAGGGCTAATCAAGAAGTGATCCTGCTCCTTGCTGACTCTCAGCTGGAAGGAAGACACATGTTTTCAGTGGCCAGGAGAGAGAGGGATCATTTCCAAGGATGCTCTGCTGGAATCCCCTCTTCCTCTGAATCCACTGCATCTAAAACTTTCCCCCAGGAACCCTTATCTCCCTCCAGCACATGAGAGATGAAAATGGCCCAGCCTTTATTTGGAACTGGGGCAATGGACCTACAAGAGAAATCTCCCAGTGATCAAAGGTAGCCCTAGAAATAGGATCCAGGAGTTCTTAGCTCCTTATCCAGAGAAGTGACCACAGTGGTTAGAAACCTTGAAAGGGCTCAGTGCATGGCGATGCCAACAGGCAGGAGTTCTCTCTTCCTATTTTGTCAGGGCCCCACACAGTGCCCACCCCACTCTAAGATGCTCTGCTCACCGTGACGTAGGTATCGCTCAGCTGGGCCCAGCCATAAAGGTCTAAGAGACGGTACACACTGCTAATCTTACATCGCATGAGCCGCTCCCCCTTGGCCAGGTTCAAGGTGTCAGTTGTGTGGAGGTCATTGATGGGCGTCATCATGGAGAAGTCTGCAGGGAAACAGTGTGGGGGCAAGGTGGCTCTCAGGGTCAGGGTTCCTGTCTGTCCCCCTTCCTTCCTTGGCCCTAGTCCACTCTAAATTCTCACTGGTACTACAGCTGCACAAGAAACTTCCACAGGCAGGGAATTAAGTATTCTTTGACTCTTCCCCGGGGGGGAATGTCCAGAGAATGGATAGTTGTGCCCAAGTAAGTCTTCTGCTTATTCAGATAAAAATGGCATTGCTTTTGGTCAAAATTCATGGCAAGATTCAAACCACAGAATGAAGAGGTCTCAGAATGCCAAGCCTATAATAAATACTGAAGATGAACACTGAATAAAAGCAATAAGTTTCTAAGTGGAAATATGGATATATTTCATCAACAAGTTTTAATAAAGAAGTTAGTAATCATGAGACCTGCTATTATCATATTGTTTAAACTATACCATGTAACATAACTTCTCCTCTACTTTAGAAACAGGGAAAATTAGAAAGTCAAGTCAGGGAGGAAGCCAATTCCCCAAGTCTTTCTGATAAGTCATAAGCTTCCAGAAGTCAGTATGGCTGGCTGAAGGGCTTCAAGGCCTCAAGCAGGCCACATCTTCTCCCCTCTGGATGTGCAGTCCTTGGTTATTTATGGTCCTTTCTGGGAATTTGGGTGGATGTGGAAAGGATTTGGAAATGGGTCTACAAGGTTTGAGAGTCCTATACTCAGAGCATCCAAATGGTTTAGGAGGTGATGTCCGGTCTATCCCATTAAAATGATGACCGTTCCCTGCATGCCTCCAGAAGGCATAAGAGGGTGTCTGAGTACCAGCACTTCCAATTAGTCAGTGTCTAGAAACCAATAAAAGAATCAATAGGAGAGGGTTCTGGCTTAAAATGATGTCTGGCAGGGAGCCTCTTGATGCTGCCTATCCCAGCATCCCAATAAAAACTTTAATGGATTAAAATGGCCTTTAGAAGCTTACACCATCTCAGTAACCTCACTACTACACAACTTGATATATGTCCTATATCAGGTTTGCCATTAGTTGAAATGACGAGATGGTCTGCAGAAGTGAGGGAGGATCAGGCGCTGTTGGGCCTATGTAAAGCAAGCAGAACAAACCTCGAAACACTCCATGTCAGGGATATGCCCCCCGGGAAGCCTGTGGCCACCAGAGGAATACCTCCAGGGCATGTGTCTAGTAACCACAGATGACAGGGAAAGAAGTGGTCCAAAGGCTCAGCTGAACTGGCAAAAAGAACAACAAAATTCTAAAGTCAACAATTTCTAATTGGAATTGACCAGTCTGGGATCCTTTCTTTCTTTCTGTGCATTCCCTAGACAAGCAACTACCTCTTTTCTTTGTTCCTAGCAGCAAGGGAGGGGTATTAAAAGCATAAGCCCCACCCCCACCCCAGAAAAAGCCAGGCAAGGGGGGCTATCCAAGATTTCTTGGAATCCTTCTCTTACAAATAATTATGGAGTCCCGGGGATGTCCAGGAGGCCAGAATAGATCTAAAAACATGCCATCACATCTTCCATGTTCTGTATCAGTGTCCCCCTCCCCCATGCCATGGAGCTTTGCTGTAAGGATTACCCCACCCATAGGCCCAGGGTGGGAGAAGAGACCAGAAGCCTCCACCGGCATCCCAGAATGCCTGCTCTCAGGGTTTTAAGAGAGAGAATGCTTGTTCTAAGCAGCCTCACAGAAGTTATGATGACTGAGTGCCAGGTTTATGACTTAGATCTAACTAAGTCATTTACTCAAGGGACCTAAGGAAACACAGAAAAAAATGAAAACTCACTAACCCCTCTGGGAAAGCTAAGACTGAAAGACACACTACTGGAAAAATTAAATTAAATTAAAACACAGAACCACCACAAAATTCTAAGGCAAATGGAGCTGGACAAAGAACAACCTATCTGTGCGTGAATTCATGACTCTTGGAACTTCCCTGACTCAGATACCCTGGACATAGACTAATCAGATTTTCAGGCATTCAACTGTCTTCCTGACAGATGCTAACCACTGAGGCAGTGAGAATGCTGGTCAGCTCTATTTCTCTCCCAAAAGAAAAAATATAAGGTCAGAGATATGAAAATGATGAGAAAAAATAGGATAGCTGTGGGAGACAAAGACCAGAGAACCAGCAAACAGATAATCAGCATCAATACAACAGAAACAATTTCTGAACTGCAAAAGAAACCTGTGTAAATATATTATAAGGATATACTACATTCCAAAGGGAAAAGTCCATAGAGAAAAATCCTATAATTATATGCTTCCTGACACATCTCTGAAATACAAGAATAAGGAGGGAAAAAATGTGCAAACATCTAGAAAAAAACTTGGGTTACCTACAAAGGAACAAAAAAATAGGCTGCTTCAAATTTCTCTGCTATAGCAATAGAGGCCAGAAGACAATGCCACAGGAGGTTTACTAACAAACAACATTAAAATAAAGTGACATAAAGCAGGTAAAAAGAAGAGAGTCACCAAAACTACGTACAGCAAATATAAACAAAAAATAAACAGAGATGGGGCGCCTGGAAGGCTCAGTTGGTTGAGCATCTGACTTTGGTTCAGGTCATGATCTCACTGTTTGTGGGTTCGAGCCCTGCATCGGGCTCTGTGCTGACAGCCAGCTCAGAGCCTTGAGCCTGTTTCGGATTCTGTGTCTCCCTCTCTCTCTGACCCTCCCCTGTTCACGCTGTCTCTCTCTCTCTCAGAAATAAATAAAATAAAATAAACAGAGATCATAACACCATTATCAAAGTAGAAATCAGGGAAAGCACATACTTTTGGAATATTACCCTTGGCAGCAAGAAGGGAGGTCTGACAAAAGCATAAGGACCCCAGACAAAGCCAGGCAGCAAGGGTGACTGTTGGGAGGATCATTGTGTACATCATCCTTTGTGAAATAAACCTATAATCCATAATTAAGCTATAGCTATAAAGAACACTTTTGCTTCGGATAACATTTCAGCAAGATACAAAGCAAAAGCCATCAGAAATACAAATAGAAATGAACAGTAATCAAATATATAGTGGAAGACAACACAAATCTCATTTTTTGTAAAATCAAAAATAATAAATGAAGATACAGATTAAATACTATGCCCTAGAGATAGATTCTATATCCACATATCATTTAAAAATGGTATTAGGCCACAGAGAAAATCTCAATAAATCCCCAACATAGACATTAAATAGGCTACATTACCCAAATACAATTCAATAAAACTAGACATTATCAACAAACCTTTAAAAAATACAAATTTAACAGCTTGGAAATGAGAAAGGACACTCCCATATAGTTCCTTGAATAAAATAAAATCAAAACAGCAACTGCAAACTACCTAGAAATTAAAAAAAAGGAAATACTGTGTCAAAATTCATGAGATAAGACCAAACTTACATTCAGAGAAAAAAAATTCATAGCCTAAAATGTCTTTATTATTGAATTAAAATGAAAATAAAGCATTTTATTCTATTCCAGAAAAAAAATATAAATAACAAAATAAACTAAAGAAAAGTTATGGAAAAGAATTAATGAATAGAAAAACAAAATCAATGAATTGGGAAGCTAGAAAATTAGTAGAACTAATATATAGATTCAAGAATTGGCTTATGTGATATCTATGAATAAACCAACATCTGGATTGGCCGTAAATAGAAAGTGGGAATATATAACACCAGGAATGAGAATGGGATGTCATCTCATCCACAACAGAAAGCTTAAATGATAGAAAGATTGTACATCACCCTAATAATTTTGAGACTCTCCATGAAATGGATTATTTATTTAAAATATATGACCAAAATTTACTCAGGATGTAGCAAAATAAAATTGTTATAGACCCTAGATGAAACTGAGAAAAAAAAAATGTTACAAAAACGTCACCTATCTGGACAGCTTTACCAGTGAATAATAAATCTCCAGGAAGAGAGACTTCCTATCTTATTTAAGTTCCATCAGGACAGGGGTGCCTGTGTGGCTCATTTGGTTGAGTATCCAACTCTTGATTTCAGCTCAGGTCATGATCCCAGGGTCCTGGTATCAAGCAAGCCCTGTGTCCAGCTCCACACTCAGTAGAGCCTGCTTAAGATTCTCTGTCTCTCCCTCAGCCTGTCTCCTCCTCTCTAAAATAAAAATTAAATTAATAAATTAATAAATTCCATCAGGACACAGCAAAGTGCAAGGATCACCTGATTTACCTTATGAAACTATAGTCTTTTTTTTTTTAAATATTTTTTTAAATATTTTTATTTATTTCTAGGAGAGAGAGAGAGACAGCGTGAGCAGGGGAGGGTCAGAGAGAGAGGGAGATACAGACTCTGAAATAGGCTCCAGGCTCTGAGCTGTCAGTCAGCACAGAGCCCGACGCGGGGCTCGAATCCACGAACCGCGAGATCATGACCTAAGCAAAAGTCGGACGCTTAACCGACTAAGCCACCCAGGCTCCCCGAAACTATAGTCTTAATACCAATACTAAATGAGGACTGCCCATAAAGGGAATTTCTGACAAATCTCATGTACGAATATGCAAAATCCTGAATAACTCTAGCAAATCAAATCTAGAAGAGTATTTTCAGAAGAATGTATCAAGACCAGGAATGACTGATGTCAGGAATGAAAAAATAATTCAATATTCAGAAATCTATTAATATAATTCATCACATCACTAGTTCAAAGAAAGGAATATCAATAAATGCCCAAAATGCATTTTATAAACTCAACATCTATTTCTGAGAAGAACCCATATTGAACTAGAATAAAAAGAGATTTCCTCAACATGATCATGAACTCAACTCTTCTGGTAAAGGGTATCTATTAAAGTCAGAAACAAGAGAAGAATGTTTATTTTCTAATCTATAATTAAACATTGTTCTGAGGGTTCTAATGAATATAGTGAGAAAACTGGAAAAAGAAAACAAAGGATAAATGTTGAAATGAAGGATTCAAAATGACCATTATTTGCAGGTCATGTGACTTTTTTTAAAAATATATAAACCCCAAAAGAATTAACTGAGAAACTATTAGAATTTAAGAGTTCATAAGAAGCTACTTTTCTGGTACTGGCAAGCTTCTGACAAGAAGCTACTGGTGACGGCTATAACCAGTAAGAAAATTGAGTGGAGAAAAAAAACATTTAAAATAACAAACTTACATAAAATTTCCAAGATAAACTTAACAAGAAATTAGTAGGAACTATATGAAAAGAACTACTAACCTTCTATGATGGACATTAAAAAAGGCAAAAAAAAAAAAAAAAGAAAGCAATAAATAGAAGACATACATCATTTCTGAACAGACCTAAAATTCATTCATGCAAATATTTTTTAAAACATCTACTATGTGACAGTTACTTTTCTAAGTCCAGGATGCTATTCTAGGATACAGCAGTGAACAAAAGATACAAACATCTTTCCCCTATGGAACTTACATTTTAATATAAAATTGTACATGTATAAATTCTTCACCAAAGGAATCTATTCATTTAGTATAATCCCAACCAAAATTCCAAAAGATAATTTTTGAGGTAGATGGGAGGGAGGGAGGGGGACTTGACAAAATAATTCTAAAGTTATTTTTAAGAATAAGCTGGCACAAATAGTTGAGGAAATTTGATACATAAATAATTAAAGGTATTTGTCCCATGAGATGATAAAACATGGGGTAGGTGTGTCTGAGTGTGTAATCAAAAGCAGAACACACAAAGGAAAGTATTGATGGATTCAGCTACATGAAATTAGAGAGTTCTCCAAGATAAAAATGTCGTGAACAAAAAAGGCAAAAATGAAGCAGGAAAAAAATTGCAATATATTTAACAAATAATAGGGAAATAGCTGAATTTTATACAGATTTGAAAATCTGTGAAAAAAAATATGCAAGTGGGAAAATTGGCAAGAAATATGACAGGTAATGTGCTACAAAAAGAAAACCACCCCAGTATGTATATGACAATATATCCAACCCCATTAGTAATCAAATAAATGCACATTAAAACACAAAGTGCTATTTATCTCCTATCAAATCAAGAAAATGAAATGAATGGTATAATACATGCTATGTACAGATCAAGGTAGAGGAAATGGGCATGACTGCATTTTTGGTGGGACTGTAAATTGGTTCAGTCTTTCTCTGGGGAAATTTGGTATTATGCATTAATATCTTCAAAACATGCAAATACTTTAATCCGGCAATCCTACTTCCAGCAATCTGTCTTTAGAAAATAGTCATAGAATAAATCAAAGGATTTACTGCATTGTTTTCACAATAGCAAAAAATTGTAAACAACCTAAAAGTCTAAAAATGGGAAATTGGTTAAATGAACTATGGCATACTCAGCCATGCCATAGCATATGCATATCTCCACCAAACCCTGTATTACAGAACCATCTTTTGTTATGTAAAAAATTAGTCAAGATACATTAAGCTATCAAATTTGCATGTATAATGTGATTCTGTTTTTGTTTTCCTAATTTCTATGTTAAAAGAAAAAGGCTGGAAGGATATATACACCGAAATATCGATAATAGTCATTTCTTGGTTGTAAGAACACAGTACAGTGAATTTTCTCTTTCTTGAATTATTTTCCTAATTTTTAATTATACTCTTGTATTTATGCTGTTGAGGGGAAGTATTTTTTAATGTTTGTTTCTTAAAGGTTGTGGGCAGAACTTCAGAGACTAGGAAAATGGTTTCATGCCCAGCCCTGGCTGCCTGTGGCTCTGGTCTACGGAGTCAGGTTGGTCTGTCCAGTGTGACACGGAGATACTGGCTTCAATGGCCTCCTCTCATCCCCACGCCCCTATCTGTAAGGGAGTGGCTCCAGGAGCTTGAGGAAAAGAGCAGCCTGAGTCAGGGGCTGCTGCTAGAGCACAAGGGTTTTTCTTAGTTCCTGTATCTGTAACTGGAATAAGAGGGAAGAGAATCCTCACTCTACTCTTGGGCGCTCAAGCAGAGGCCATGTAAGGGACTTTGAGCTGCAAATCTCTTCCCTTCATGCTAATCCACTTATGAGGGGGCCTGGAAGAGTCACATAGAGGCTGCCCTGCCTCCCACAGCAGTGACACCATGTCATCCTGTCCCCTCCCCCAGCAGAAGGAGCAAGAAGTTTTCCCGTAAGTCATCCTCCCCCTTCTATTTCTGGGCATCAGGAAGAATTCTCCTGTGGGTCTTTAAATCCAGCAGCCTCAGAAGCAGAGCCAGGTACCTCTTTGGCTGCTCCCCCAGGTCTGCGAACCCAGTTGCACCGCTCGCTCAGTAGCCTGGCAACCAACCCTCTCTTCCCCGCCCCACTTCCTCCACCTCTGCTCATGGCAGCTCCCCAGCTCCCCACGTACTCATGGAAGATGCTGGGAAGACTGCGTGGGAGGTGCTGGCCATGAAGTCCGCGATCTGCCGCAGGGCCCAGATGTTGGAGGAATTGTTCCCCTTCTTCATCTGCTCCTGGATGAGGCCTTCCAGCTCCTCCCTGAAAGACTGAAGCAGACCACAAGGCGCTGGTGCCCCCAGTGTGTCTCATGCAGGAGACTGAGGGCCCTTCTTCCCAGTGCCCACCGTGATCCCCTGGGTCAACTAGGCCAGGGCCACATGTGGGATCCCTGGGCCGCAGAGGACACTGGGAATTCCACAGGTATCTCAGAAGCCACCCCCGCCCCCCACCTCACCCCCCCACCCCACCCCCCTCCAATTGCTGTTTGGGAAGCAAAAAGGAGATGTCCCGTGCTGTGTTCTCTCTGTCCTATGAGCAGTAATCCAGATTCCAGGTCCTTCGTGGGTCTAAGTGATAGTCAAGACACTCTCCCCATGACTCCCTACCTACCACTATCAGCCGTGGCAGGGATTCACTTTAGTAATTAAGAGACATTTTTAAAAAGCAGAACTGAATTAAAAAGTGTGCCACTGTCCCTGTGCAGTAGGCATGCCTATGGCTCTTCTAGGCCTCAGTTTCCTCATAGATGGAAGGATTTGCTGTCCTCCCTGTAGCTTCCATTTCTGATGTCCTACAACTCTAAGCCTGGCGTTTCAGACCATAATAAGGCATGCCTGTCCACCAGGTGGCAGCAGGGAACATGCAGGAGGGAAGAGGCTTCGGTGAGTCCGTAAAAGAACAGAAGAAACACCACCTCCTCCTGTTCCATTTCTTGCCTGAGAATAGAGTCCTATCCATTCAGGCCCCCAAACTTGGGTTGGTACTAACTCTGCCACTTCTACCACATCTGTCACTCTCCTAGTCACACACTGCAGTTTTTCCATCATCTCAATGCTTTTAGTACCTGCCATATTCCTCCAGGCTCCTGTCATAGTCAGCTGTCACCAAAATCTCAGGCCCATGACCTCAGGGCTCCTCTGTGAGACCTGAGCATTCACTGTGTGCACTCAACCAGGGTCCCACATAGCCCCCTGCATGCCCTGGCCGCCCTCCAAAGCCCAGTGGGGACTGAGGCAGACACCATCCCAGCAGGCACCTGGAGATGCCAGCTCTATCCTGAGCTTCTCAAGCCTTAGGATCACGCAGTGTTTCCCGAGGACCTCCCAGCCCTTGTGCTCTCAGCCTCTCATTCTACAATGCTCTGCCCACCCCCCAGCCCCCGCAACCTGTATCAGCCTCCCACTTCAGTGGCCCATTAGATCCATGCTTTGTTCTTCTCAATGCACCACTTGTTGAAGGATGAGCTCTGTGTCCATGCCACGCAGGTACCAACTGACCTCAATTCTGGGGCCATGGTACTGTGATCATGACTTGTTCTCCCTTCCCCGGCCCATATCCCTCTGTACCCTCCACTCTTTCCCCCTCCTGGATCTTGCAGACCCTCCTGCCCCAACAGTGAGTTCTTTGTGATATGCAAAAATGGGAGGCCCAAGCCTTCCATGTGACGTCCCCTGCTGGCCTCTGGTTTACACAAATATGGCTGTTAGTTCATAGTTATAGCTTTGGGGGACGACTGGAGACTGAAGCAGGGCTTCTGTCTTTCAGACCCACCCCTTCCCAGCACCAAGCGAAACCATCTGCACATAAACCTGGTTTTGCCATCCAGCAGTTACTAGGGAGAGAATTAAACACAGGGTCCCGCCGTCTTGCTCAGCAGCCTTAAAGCTGCTATGACACTAAGTGGAAGAGGAGTTCTTTACCTTTCAGGTTCACGCAGATGAATGAACAGGAGTTCCCCGCTCCCCTCCCTCCTTCTCTTCCTCCTCTCCCACCCGCCTGGGGTGGACCTCACTCACCGGGCTCTGCAGGATCATGGTGACACGCTTCTTCTGCTCCATCAGGTTGAAGTCCTGCCGCAGGTCCGCGGCGCGGCTGCGAAGGCGCAAGTATTCAGGGTCGTCCTCAGAAAAGCGGTCGAAGTACTGCTGCCCCTGCGGGGGCGGCGGGGAGGCAGCCTCGGGGACGGTCTCTTCACTCATTCTCCTGGTGGGTTTACAATCTTCTCCTGGAAGCCTATAGAGAAGGGAAGAGGGTGCTCCCAGTCCTAGTACAGTTTCCTAAAATAGAGGGGCTAGATTCGGTTGAATTCACATGCTGGAGGCCACTATTCCCAGGAGGGTGTAAGCCCAGCCGCGGTTTGGACGGCATTGCGCCAACAGCTGCCCATCTATAGGCGGCGCTAACACATCATCGCACCAAGCAAAAATATGGCACAGGCTCAGGCGTCCACCACCCTTCCCTGACTAACCAGTCAGGCTTAAACTGCCACACCCCAGTGGAAGTGGACAGTTTGGAATCCAGTGCGAGCGTGACCTGCACACCTTTTGGAGCATTTCTATGATGCGTATCTAGATAGTGTAAAGCTATGTATTGAGAATTAGTACTTACTAAAGTACTATATCTAGGCCTGATCCCAGGAATGAGGCCTAGGGCAGCCTTAGGAGAGTTGGACTGAGACCCCTTTTTTTCTACTCAAGCATGTGTGTTTGTTTTTTTCTTAAGGCCTGAGGGTGAATATAGGAATGTCTTCTCTTACTATATTGAAGCTCTTCTGAAGAAGCAGGCTGCAGTTCCAACCTCTACCTCCCATCTGTGAGGCTTTGGCCACACCAGTCCCTAACACTAAGTTAGGGTGACTGTGTGTCAGCACCACTAGGACTTCAAGCCAGGCTTATGCCCCTTCAACACCGAGGCCAGTCTTGCAGAGCTCTAGCCTTCTCCCTGTTGTGTGATCCCCTTCCCAGCAAGAGGCCTTAACTGAACAAGAATTAGCTTCTGAACACGAGTAGAGAGATGCCAACCAAAGAGCATTACAGGGGAGCAGGACACTGGCTTTCATCCTTAACCTGCCCCTCCCTCACTTTACCTCCATGGGCTCATATTTGCATTCCATGAGGAGGTGGAATGCTCTCTTGTTCTCTCAGAGCACTCCTGCCTCTTCATCCTGATCTGTTCTTCCCCTTTGGCCCATTCTGTTAGCCCTAACCTTGACCTTCATTACAGCCAGCAGCTTGTTACACAAGAAGCCTTGCTGACAGCCAGTAAAGCATATTATTCTTTTCAGTGAGCTGTATGTGACTTCTCCCATCTTCTGTCAGGCCTCTACCCTCCACCTTACACTTCCTCTGAGTGGGGCAGGTGGGACATAACATTAGGTAACAGAAAAAGTGGTAATCCACCCCATCAACCCAGAACACTCAGGTGATCTTTCTTCCTTTCCCTCTTCCTTCCTGCCTCCCTCCCTCCATCACTCCCTTCCTTCCTCTCTTCCTTCATTTTTTCCCCTTTTGGGGAAGAGCAAGTAGCAAGGTCATGGGAGGGCATATGTGCAGAGTCCCTTAGCTGATTGCCCAAACCAGTGGCCTAGATCAGTGGTTCTTAAACTTGGGTGCATGTTGGAATCTGCTGGGGAACTTTAAAAAATACTGACATCAAGGGTTTTCATGTTATTAGTTTGGACATCCTGGACATCAGGATTTTTAAAAGCTCCCTGGTTGATTCCAATAGGCAGCCAGGGTTAAAATACCACTGGCTAGATGTTAATAGTTGCACCACATAATGGAAAGCATCCATTCCAGGTGTTATCCATTTAGCATGCCAGCCAAAGATGGCACAAAGCCTTATCTTCTAACACTATTGCCAGGTGCCACTTCCCATGGCTATCCAGATTCCATCCTTCAACCCCAGTCACCACCTGCCACTATACACTTGACCTGGGACAGCAAGAGTGCTCCAAATGCCACCGCAATCTGCTCTTGCAAGTTTGCCAAACCATGGCATCTCCTCTTAATTCTTTCACTAATTAATCATTTCCTTATGAATGCCCTCACCAGATCTCCCCCAACCATGCCTACCGGTTCTGGAGATGAGATATTTTCTTGCAAGTGATGGAATATGGGGGAGGCATCTTCTGGAAGTGACAGCCAAAAAACCCAAAAAGCAAAAAGCATTCTCTAAAGAAAGATTTGAAACAGATTTGGTAGAGTGCTAGAATTGTTGAGGTTGTACTTAGTAACACTCAAGCCAGATTCTTCGTCTAAGAAGAGAAGGTGATCGAGTCCATCAGGGATGTTTCTGGTAGAAATAACTATGGACTAGAAGTCAGAGTCTGCAATATCACCCCCACCCTGTCATTCTCTAGCTGCATGGGCTTGGGCAAGTAGTAATTTCCCTCTTTGGGTCTCCTTTTATTCATCTCTAAGCGAGGGAGTGAACAAAATGAATGCTGGAGCCCCTTCCAGCTTTACACTATATGGAGAGAGACAGGTTTGTGTAGAAAGGCAGAGGATGGAGGATCTGGGTTTCTGGAGCAAGAGACCTTCTTCCTGCATCGCCATATCCCCCCCACCCCTTCCCCCTGAGGCCTCTTCCTCAAGCCAATTGCCAGAAGAGAAACATCTGCAAAGAATACACATGACCTACTGACATTTGCCTTGTAGGTTCAAGTCAGTCCCTCGAGCATGGGGTGAGTTAAGAATACTTCACCTCCACCATGCTCTCAGGGTTAGCATCATCTCTGAGACTTGGACAGTAATATGGGATTGCAAGGACAAAGACCATGGGAGTGCATCAGAGCCACGCAGTCATGCAGTCGCCACCCAGATTCTCCTGGGCAGACAGCACTGCAGACGTTTTTCCAGAGGCACTGCTCCCCCTTTTTAATTCTCTTTGGCATTTTTGTAGTGCCAGTCTTTGATGTTATTTTTAAAACAAAACAAGTAGCCTCCCGATGGGTAAAACGGATGTGCACGTGGGGATGAGCTCCCTGTGTTCCTTATGACTCCAGGTCCCACCAGCTCTAGAGCCACCTGAACTCTCAGCTTCTCTGGGATTGGGATCACTTTGGCCAGCACAGCCACTACTGAGCCTTCCTGGCTCAAATCCTTTCTGTTTAGGCAGGAAAAGGCTGACCCTCTTTCCTTCCCCTTGGAGTGGCTGCATTCCCAGGAATGGGTCTGTGAAGGCTTGAAGTAGCATTATCTTCCCTGAAGCATGAGGAAGGAAAAAGTTCAGGTTCTGCTGGACAGGAGCCCATACCACTATGCCACCAGACCTGCCCTCACTTCTCAGAGCCCATCCCCAGAAGGTTACTCCAGAGATGCTCCAATGAGACTGGGGTCGAAAATGGAAGTCCTGACTCCCTCATCATGACAAAGGGGGACAGAGAAAACCACCCTTTGACTTTGTGAACCAGAAGCATCCTTTTGTGCTCCTCCTTTTCCTTCCAAAATGTTACATAGGTGACCAAAGTCATGTGCAGTGTAGCTTAGAGGTTAAAAGCAGGGATTCTAGGGGTGCCTGGCTGGCTCAGTTGGAGCAGGCGACTCTTGACTTTGGAGCTGTGAATTTGAGCCCCACATAGGGTATAGAGATTAATTTTTTTTTAAAAAAAAAGTATGGACTCTGGAACAAGAACATGATGAGTTCCAATCTTAACTGTGCCACTTATTAGCTATGTGATCTTGTTGGGCAAGTTACCTAACCTCTCTGTGCCTCAGTTTCTCCATATACAAAATGGGGATCGGAACTATTTTACTACCTCTTTAGGCTGTTGTGAGCATCTAGATGAGTTAATGTATGTAAAGAACTTAAAAGAGCACCTGGTGTATATCGAGTGCTATTAAGCATTTCCTTTTATTATGTGTCATTTGGGGGCTAGAATCATCATAGCATTAGGAAGTCAAGTAATGAGAGGCTTATAATTCAACTGTAAACAGGTGCATATCAAATAACTGTAATTATATGTTGTAGTCCAAAAAACTAATTCACTCTTGAGCTATGTTAACAAAAATAACATCCAGAAAAAGACTGATGAGATTGACTCGTTCTCTGACCAGAGAGTGGGAACATGTCCACCTGGAGATCACAAAGAAGAGGATAAGCAGGATGGTGACCATCAGTGGCCAGTGCTTGTTGGGCCAGGTATGACATCATGAAGAATGTATCTGGCCTTTGTCCCAAGTTCCTGGCACAGAGCTTTAGAAAGCCTTGAGATTTCTAAAATATCCAAAAACACATTAGGAGGGTCTTTCGTTTTTCATAATGAGTCCATTTCATCAAATCTGAATTTATGCTAATGAGATGACTTATGGCCAACCCTTAGATGTTTCAAGGGAGGGACTTGAAGTCCCTCTCCCCAGCAAGAGAGACCAAGTACATGATTAGAGGGTAGGAGCTTCAGCCCCACTCCCAACCATGGAGGACAGATGATTCAATCAAGTGGCATATGATTTAAACAATTATGTCTTGTAGTAATAAAGCCCCTCTCCCCAATGGTGCCCCCCATTAAAAATCTCTGGACAACAAGGCTTAGAGGAGCTTCCTATTGGTATGCTGGGATGGTGATGCACCCAGATTCTGTAAGGAGGGGCCATAGATGCTCTTCACCAATCCCGCACCCTCCCCATGCTCTGCCCTATGCATTACTTACATTTCACTGTCCCTGAGTTGAATCCTTTATAATAAAACTGTAGTCACAATTATAGTGACTTCGGCGAGTTCTGTGAGTTGTTACAGTGAATTAGAGACTGAAGAGGGGGCATAGGAACCTTCAAATTTATACCCAACTGAGTTAGAAGGATGGTGGCAGAGGAGGAGCAGAAAGAGAGGGAGACAGAGGATCCAAGGCAGGCTCTGTGCTGACCACAGAGAGCCCAAGTAGCAGTTCTTCAACTCAAGAACTGTGAGATCATGACCCAAGCTGAAGTCATATGCTTACCCGACTGAGCCACCCAAGTGCCTCAAGTGTGGGCAGTTTTATTGGTGACCTTGTCCTTTACTTGTGGTAGTTAACCTGCGTGCCCTTTAACCCAGTGTAGTGTTAGAATTTAGCTGAATTGTAGGACACTCCATTTGCATTAGAGAATTGGTGGCGGGACACCACCAGGCTACTTCTATTCATGATTCATTTTCATTCCCAGGACCATTTCATAGGCCAGATTTTTTGCAGATAAAGAAAATGAATCTCAGAGAGGTTAACTAACTTGCCTGAGATCACACGATAACAGTGACGTGAGGATTTCAAACAGGACTGTCTCTGGCTCCAGATCCTGCACTCCTCCGCCCCAGTTGTCCCCAGACGTCTGTTAGGCTGCCATGTGGAGGAGGGAGAAAGGTGTTTCCTTAGAGCCCCCAGGGCCAGAACGAGGTGGGCAGATTTTAGGAGGGTGCAAGGGGCAACTTTGCATCAGTAGGAGCTCCTCAGGAATAGGAAGATGGGACAAGCTGCTTTGTCAGGTGGTGCCTCTCTCCTCGGAGCTCGGTGACTACAGGATGCTGTAGAGGGGCTTCTGCCCCTTCCAGGGAGATTGCACTAATGACCACTAAAGTCCTTCACATTCCATGGGAGCTCTGGAGTCAGCAAGATTGGGGGAATTCATGGCAATGACTTGGGTGACTGGAAACTAATTCTGGTTAGGTGGACTCAACCAAAAAGCCTGCCTCACTGCCCATCATCACCAAAAACTGCTGACAAATTACCGGGAGGCTGAATCAGCCTTGTCCCAGGCTGCTGTTTCTCAGTGCTCAGCCCGTGCACTCTGCTTCGTTCTCAGGGACGCCGACCACATCTACAGGACTTCAAACATCTGGGTAGAAGCTGAAAAACACAAACAACAAATATCAGGGTCTTGTCTGCACCACCAGGACTCTTCGCCCTGTTTCTAAAGCACCATTATGTGCTGATTTAAGGACTGCTAAGAAATTCTTAAAAATGAACTAGAAATGAAATTTTAGTTTAAAAGTAAATTCTGCCTATGAAAGGAAATAAAGAAATCTTCATTACCTTTACAAATGAGATCAAAACTCCTTTCAAGGAGAGGAACTGAAAATCTCTTTGCTGACTACTGGCTTTGAGGAACAGGGGAGAGAAGTTACTTTATGCAGTGGAGGGAGAATGTGGAACTCCTGAATGAGCCCAGAGGGGTCACAGGCTGCTGGGCTTCCTCACACCACCCCCCAATACTTCACTAACAGCTACTCAACTCACAGACACGGATAAGAGAGAATTTTGAGTGCAGCCAAAGAAGCAGGAAAAGCCTGAAGAATATCACACCCCAGGCAGGTGTAAGGGTTTTTGGAAGTGCACAGAGCATGAATTGGTGGATTCAAGACAATTTCACCCAGGGTTCAAGAGGAAGAGAGGCCCCCAGCTGACACCTGGGGAACTGGTTATGAAGTGCTACTGAAGGAGGAATAGAAAGTTGTGAATGTCTTACAGACAAGGATGAGTTACTACTCCCAAAATCCTGGGGATCAAGGTCATTTCCATTTTCACTTGGGCAATGTTCACTTGGTGCTCAGAGCAAGGATGCTTGTCTCCCCCAGAGCTGGCAGCATCCCCGACACCAACTCCTATTCCCACCATGGCCCCAGGGCCAGTCCCTGCCTGTCCTGCCTCACTGGCCAGCTCAGCTCCATCCCTGACCCAGCACTGCCCACAATAGAGCATCTGAGAAGATTTGACTTACTACTGAGGGGAGAGAGATCCCATCTTGCTGTGTGCCTGAGGGAGTGCAGGACACTGCATGGCCACTGAGGCACAGCTTCCTTCTTAGCCAGTCGGGATACCCTGGGCTCGCATTTCAGTATTGTGATGGCCCTTGAGCCCAGACTTGGTGCTCATGGCTCTAGTTAGGGACCTGGCAGTTGGTTCCATAACCTATTTTCTATGCTCTGCATGTCTAGCTGCCAGCTGGGGTCCTCTTCCCACTAGTCTTATTTTTAGCTGGAACAGGGCATGGCCACCACCTCATGCTCATGCTGTTTCTGTCCAACGCCCACCAATGTGGAAGGAACCCTCCCTTCCAGGGCTGGCTAGCTTTAGGGCGGGGCTTGCTGACATATCTCTGGATGCTATTCTTTTTTATTTTTTTTAAGTTTATTTATTTATTTTTGAGAGAGAGAGAGAGTGAGGAAGGGACAGGAAGAGAGATAGAGAATCCCAAGCAGGCTCCTCACTGTCAGTATAAAGCCTGATGTGAGCTCGAACTGACTAACCATGAGAAAATAACCTGATCTGAAATCAAGAGTCAAATGCTTAAGCGACTGAGCCACCAGGTGCTCCTGGATGCTATTATTTTAAAGGTGTCCACTGATGTCCCCTAAGGACCAATCCTGCAGCTTCGTAAGTTGTCTTCTCCAAAGCACAAGCTTCTTCCCAATTCCCAGCAGCCCAGGCCGTATGAGGTATGACGCATGAGGTACATGGCCATAACCTGCTAAGATTTGTATTTTCAGAGTCTGAGCTATTAACTGTATCCACTGAGAGAACTAATCATTAGCCCCCAGAAGTGACCTGTGCCATTCATTTAAAAAGACTGACATCCGTCCCTCAAATAAATGGACACTGAACATAACAATTCCCATCCCAACTCTGTTGGTGTTGAAATTCCACTATTAGAGTTCCATTCCTTGGGTTATAGTGTTATCTCCTGATTAAAATAAAAATAGGCTGGGGCTTCTGGGTGGCTCAGTCAGTTAAGCGTCCAACTTTGGCTTAGGTCAAGATCTCACAGTTTGTGAGTTCAAGCCCTGTATTGGGCTCTATGCTGACAGCTTGGAGTCTGGAACTTACTTTGGATTCTGTGTCTCCCTCTCTCTCTGCCCCTCCTCCATTTGCTCTCTCTCTCTCTCTCTCTCTCTCTCTCTCTCTCTCTCTCTCACACACACACACACACACACACACACACACACACACACACACACACACACACACATATTTAAAGAAATGAAAACAGTCCTGAAAGGTATCATAGGCAAATGTAAAACATTCCCCTGTGGTACCAAAACTATCAGATCTCTGTACAGTCAGGCTGAGCAGGGCCAGGACAAGCACCATATCTTAATGAGAGAGAGAGAGGTATGATGTCAGGGCCACTCAGAAGGTTCTAGCAACTGGGGCAGGGTTGCCACCCTCGGTGGGCCTCAGGGGACCCCAGTCTGACAACTCTCTGGAGAGAGGTTGGGAGATCCAGGCTTTTAGCCAGCACACAAAGCCTCGTGAGTCTCTCAGTGCCTGCCCCCACCGTCCCTGCCTCTCACAGGTGCTCCGGGGCTGTGCCCAGGACCTGGAAGGCACCAGGCTGGTTCCCAGCTCTGCACCTTTGTCCATGCTGATCTCTCCCTGGAGAACTCTTTCCTCTTTGCTTTTTTCCCTTCAGCTGTCCTCTTCAGCTCTTTGTCCTCTCCTTCTGGAAGCTCCCCCCTTACGTCCCCTTAGACTCTCCCATCACCTTGACTCACCTCTTTTGTCCCACTTACAGTCTGACAGCAACAGACTATTACCATAAGCTTCTTAGCAGGCAAGGCCTGTGTCTTTGGCATTTCTCTGTTTCCCATGTTGCCACAAGACCCGGTGCCAGTCAGATGCTGAATGAATGTTAGTTGAACCGAAACTCAATTAACAGACCATTGGAGGTTTGGCTGGTTCAGCAAAGCAGCACCGCTGTCCAGGTCCTGGGGTGCCAGAGGTGAGAGAGGCTCTAGGCCCTAGGGGAGCTCATGCACAATGTCGGGAGACAGACCCCTAACAGCCTATTTCATGGTAAGGTGCTGAGTGTTAACGGAAGCACATATGGCAGGCTTCCTAGTGCTCAGATCACCTCCTTTAAAACGAAATGTTCTTTTGTTGTTCAACCCAAAAGGCTGAGCCCCCTCTGGCAGCCGTTCTTCCTGCCTATTTTGCAACAGAATTCTAGCAATTGACCACAACTCTTTAACAAATCCAACTCCACAGTATAACACTGACTATGGGGAGACAGAGGAGAAAGCAATATATACCACAGGCCACCAGCCACAATCCCCTTGGTTCTCCAAAATTCTGCCCTGCCCCCTATCTGTCTCTCTCACCTCTTCCCTCTAGCAGCCCTTCTCCTGCCCCTACCCCAGGGCCCTCGATTCTGTGCTCAGCAGGGCTCCCTCTCAGTATCCCCAGTTTATAGTCTCATACCCTTGACCCCTGTTCAGCAAAGACTCTGCCTGGGGTTCACCCTCCTAGCAGAGCAGCTGGGGATTGCAAATCACAAAAGATGCTCTCCATCACAAGTCATTTTCCTCACTGTCCCTTTGAAGACCAGGTATATGTAATCACTGAGTATAAAATCACATTTCTATGGGTCATTCCTGACAGCGATAAAAGGAACACGAGGTCTAGAAGGGAAGTAACAGATGCCCAAGTTGTCTGACCTTTTGTGAGAAGGTGTTTAAGCTCCATGTGCACCTAAGAGAGGTGGGTGCCTGTCTCCTACCCCTTCAGCAGGAGGTATCAAACAGGAACAGACAGTCTGAGTACCCCGAGCCCAAAATGGAAAGATGCTGCAAATGGTCGCTTCCAGCTACCCCCAACACACCATGGGCATGGCCTCCCCTGGGGTGGTCCCAGCCCTAGAAAGCCCTAGGCCCCCTGCCCCACAGTACACCATTTTCTCCAAGCCTTAGACCAAGTCAGAACCCAAGCTCACCGATCCTTGAGACTTCCAGAAGGGAAGGAGGAGCTGGTCATGGCTTTGCTGCTGTTACTCTGCAAAGTAAATGGAGACTGCTGAACTAGGGGCTGGACCACACCCTGCCTGGTCTGTTCAGATAAAGAGAAAGCTCACAGCTCTGCATGGTGGGATTATGGGTGAAGCTTATCATTAGCTTCTTCACACGGTTCTGAATTTCCCAACTTCTATAGTAGGTATCAACTCCTGTGACCATTTAGGACAAAAAAGTTTAAAAGAAGAAGAGAAGGAGGAAGGAGAGAAATGGCAAAGTCTCTCTCTATCCCTCTCTGGAAACTCCCTTGGCTGGAAGAACCCTTTAACTCCCTGACTGCTACAGGTCTAAGAAGTGCTCATTTCTGAGCATCCCTGATGCATCTTTTCCTAGCAAAGTCCAGTGAATTTTAAAAGCCTTCTAGTAAAGGGCCCCAGACCTAATGGTTATTAGGCACTTTTTCCCATTCTTCTATTATCCAGAAATTGTGCTGCTATGTAATAAATGGGCCCAGTATTCTTTCTCACCACTTGAAATCTGTCCCACTGCCCCTCACTAGACAAGCACAATTATTTGTTGAGTATCTATTGGTGCCCAAGAATGAGCACAAATTAGAATTGGGCATAAGAGGAAAGACTTCCAAAAGAAATGAGATTTGGTCCCTGTTTGCTAGAGGCCCACAGTCATAGTGAAAAATGTGAATACAAATAAAGATAAATAGATGAAAGAGAAAGAAAGAAAGAAAGAAAGAAAGAAAGAAAGAAAGAAAGAAAGAAAGAGAGAGAGAGAGAAGTATTGAACACATATATTTCAGACTACCTCTTCAATGATGGTGTGTATCTATATTTCTCTCTCTCTCCCTCTCTTTCTCTCCCTCCCACACACATATACATACATATACATGAAACTGAAAATAAATATATATATTCAATGGTTTTTGGAACAGGAGACTGGAAATCTTGGGTCCACATTTGTGAGGACCAAAGTTCTGAGTTAGATATTGAAGGAAGACATTAGTCAGTCAACAAAATTTGGGGTTGTTAGACCCAAATAGGTACAAGTGTGCTGGGCCCTTCTCATCGACACTGCACAGAAGGGCTCATCTTCCTGGATTTCAGGTGAGGAAATGGAGGCTCCAGCAAATGGGGTGACCTGATCAGGGCTACAGATCTATTGATGGGCAGAGGCTAGTTTGAACCCATCTGGTTCCAGAGCCTGTTCTCTCTTTTCCCTTTGCCATGACTCCCTCCCTTCCTCCAGATGAAGATGAACAGATGCAAGGGGCTGGTAGGAAGTGGGGGAATGGAAAACAGCAAAGAGCGAAAGCCCAAGTCCCAGGCTTCATATTCAAAAAAGCCAGCCCCTTAAAAAATCATTGTGTTTCCTATTTCTGGCATGGGGACACCAAAGGATATGATTCACAATCTCTGCTCTCAAAAGGCCCACAATGTCATTGCAGCAGGAGCAGCTCATAGAGACATCATTATAATACTAGGTTGGGGGGTGGGGGGGAAGTGCTCTAGTAGATCCTCATGAGCCATGGAGTTCCAGGGAGGTCCCAACCTTGAGTCTCCAGCATTAAGCTTTAATCCACTTGTCAGATACCTGCCACCAATCACAAAAACATGTGGACTTCATGCCTTCAATGAAGAGGAAAGAAAGGGGGATTCAGGAATTCCTGGTGATGCAGAGACAATGCTGAACCAGCAGGAAGTCTGGGTTCAGCCTTCAAATGGTCCCTTCAGTGAAAAGGTCAGCCAAACTTGCACACCCTGTGAATAAAAGCTCATCAAAAAAGACTGTCTAATTGAACTGACATGTCCTCTGATTCACTGTTCCACACCTCAGGCTGTCCTAGAATCCAGTCACAGATACTTTTAAGCAATCATCTTGTCTACCTTCTGTTTCTGGCAAGACTATACCTAAGACCAATGGAGCTATATTTTGAAAACCTTCACCTTGGTCAAGTTCAAACATAAAACATTTGGTTCTGCTTTTTTTTTTACCTAATCTGAGAGCATGTGTTCTTCAACAGGAAAGTAAAATATAACTCACTGAATCATGTGGCACGACTATCCTTGCCCCCCATCCCCACCTCCAGCCAGGAAATCCAGGAAACAGCTATAGGGTGATATGCCCTTCTATGTCTAATAGAATAAAGTTCTACAGCCACAGAGGTGAAAATAAATGCTTTTTTAGCACACTGAAGTCAGAATTATCTTGGCTTTTTCATTGGTGCTGTGGGAAGTATTTGCCTTACTAACTGGACATAAGGGAAAATTAAAAGAACACCTTGCACCTATGACTAGAAGGGACACTGACACCATCCCCCTTCTCTCTAGACTAAAGAAACTATAAAACTTCACAACCCCAGTGAGAAGACTTCGTAGGCGTAGGAAGAAGGGATAGTGAAGAAGGGTTAAATGGCGGAGGATCTAAAGACTCACATGGGGAACTCTACTGGCCTCTAGAATATCCATGTGGAGACATCCCAAAAACCTGAGAAGTGAGGTTCAGGCTGTCACAAAGGGTTAAGACAAAGATGGAAAAAATAGGAGGCATGCTGTTTGGCTTTGCTGTCCTCTCTGTGATCCTTCCTATGATTCTGTATGGTTTAGATATTATTGTGAAGGTATTAAGGAGGAACTATTTCAACTTCTCTGTTTATGTGTGCTTGCATCAGAGACAATGCCATGTGCTCACCAAACCTACTTCCTCTTCCTCCCGGGCACCCAATTTCCCAGCTCCCCCTTCTATCTGGCAAGGGCCATATGGAATGTAAGTCAATGATATAAGCAGAACTGATGTGCGTCACCAATAGCCCAGGCAATTAAGAGAAGTGCCTTCTCGTTGGGATGAGCACTGGGTGTTATATGTAAGTGATGAATCACTAAATTCTACTCCTGAAATCATCGTTGCACTATATGTTAACTGACTTGGATTTAAAATTTTTATAAGTTAGGGGCGCCTGGGTGGCTTAGTTGGTTAACCGTCCGACTTTCGCTTAGGTCGTGATCTCGCGGTTCGTGGGTTCGAGCCCCGCGTCAGGCTCTGTGCTGACTGCCAGCTCAGAGCCTGTAGCATATTTCAGAGTCTGTGTCTCCCTCTCTCTCTGACCCTCCCCTGATCGCTCTGTCTCTCTCTCTCTCTCTCCTAGAAATAAATAAAATTATTAAAAAAAAAATTATAAGTTAAAAAAAGAGCAGGGGTACCTGGGTGGCTCCGTCGGTTAAACATATGACTTTGGCTCAGGTCATGATCTCGCAGTCTGTAAGTTCAAGGCCTGCATCAGGCTCTGTGTTGTCACCTCAAAGCCTGGAGCCTGCTTCAAGTTATGTGTCTCCCTCTCTCTCTGCCCCTCCCCCACTCGTGCGCTTTCTCACTCGCTCTGTCAAAAATAAACATTAAAATTAAAAAAAGAAAATAGAGCAGAAGTGTATTATCTACACATTCTCCTTTCTTGCCTCCCTGCTGGATTCAGAGGATCCAGTAGACATTCTGGGACCTTTGGGTATAATGCAGCCATCAAACGGAAGGAACCACAGTGTTGCTAAAGGCAGCCCACTGAGCATCTAATTGGAGATTCCGAGATTGCTGTTACAGGAAATAGCCTATCCTGAACAACATCTTCACACCTTTTTTTTTTTTTTTTTTAAGCTCAAGATAGTCTTCTATTAATCTTAATGTCTCTTTCAGGATCGCCAGTTATCCATATACTGAATCTCTGTTCTCTATGTTTTTTCATTTTCCTTCTCATTAGTTTTATTATTGACACTTACCTTGCATTCTGACAGTCTGTCAGAATTTCCAACTTCACCGGTGTTAATTCAGCAGAACTAGTATGGTTTTAATTATAATATGGGACAATTTTGTCTGTTGCATACTTTCTTTCATCCCCATTTTCACGTCCGCCCCTTTCCTCCTAGGCTGCTCTTCCCTGTGACTGTCCTCTCCTATTTCTTAGAAGCCATGCCATTTTGAACTCCATTAAGGAAACCAAATCATTTTCTGACATTTTTCTTGTGATTCCTATAGCAGATTATTACAAGAAGCAAACACTTTTGAGTCTCCCAGATCACTTACCTTCCTCCCAAGTGTCTTTTCTCAAGACACTTCTAATTGGTTTTTTGTTCACTTTATTCTCAAATAAGATGAACTCAAGTGCCCTAATGTATGATGTACAGGGAAAACAGCTTCTAGCAAAAGATGATCAGGAAACCACATGTTTTCTGGAAGTCAGATGTGGTGTATACACAATTAATGGTGACTTTTAATTCTTAAAGGCAATTTCTGCACTAGTTGACCATAGAAATTAGCTTAATAATCAGTCCACTTAAGATCAAAGATACATAAGGACAACTGTCAAGGATAACAGCCCAATCCTGCATCCTGGTTATAAAATAGGTACTCCTTATATAGAAAATTTAATAAAGTTCAATCAAATCCATTTCTAGGCAATTGGTCTGTTAACATCAGACTTGAGGAAATAAATACTTAGGTGAATCCACAAATCTCTAAGTATGACCTCCCACTTCATAGCTTCCTGAGATCCCATAAAACTACAGATAAAATTTAGGAAGAAGGGAATGAAAGATAAGCATCATGGCAACAATTTGAGGGCTATTAGATACTGGAAACTCAGTCAGCCTCACTTCCAGGACATTTCCTGCTTGAAGAAAGGGCATGGGAGGCTAGTCACACAGGCAAGCATAAGGAAGACTTTTGATTCAGGCTTCAGAAGTAAGGCAAAAAGATACAAGCCCAGGTATTGATTTGATAGTGAGGGATAAAAATAAACATTGGCATCATTTTATTTCTTCAAATCTAAGAAATCACTGATTTGACAGACATGGTATTATTTAAAGTATTACTAGGAAAGGGAAACCACTGCCAGTTATAAGTCATCATTAACTGGAGGACACACCCCACTTTCAAAGATGCTGACATGTGGGAAAAATGTGTGCCTTAGAACTGATGAAGAATGGAAACCCAGCTTAGAAGTTGGCTCACCAACTTTGGGACTGCTCTTCACATGTGGGTGGG